CATAATTATTCCGTGGCTGCGTGGCCGAAAACTCTCAAAAGATACTTCTTTCATCCTTCGATGATCTTTCCTTGCATATCTTGTACACCGATCAATAGAAAGATCTTGTTCCTCGCGAGTGGAGATCAGCCGCGTGAATTCCGAGTCACGAGCATATTTTCTAGTTGCATATGTATTCAGATAAAGTGTGATTAGGGTCCCGAAGAGTGGAGAAAGGATCTGCTACTAGTGTTACTTTACTGCCGAGACACCATGTCGATCGACGGACATTGTTCAGCTTCCGCTAGAGATCGCTAGGGGTCGATTGCTTCAAAAAAGTTCGATGGCGATAATGTTTGCTAGGAATAATTGTACGGAAGTAATGTTATCCAGTTTCACAGATTCGGATTCTTCGGATCTGGTGGAATGTATCAATGGAGATCCGTAGGTCACAGGGGTACGAAATGTGGAATAATTCAGGGGCTAAGAATTGGAGCTCAGTTCACTAGAAGTACATCCCGGCTGGGGACTCAAAGCAAATATACCATGTCATAAATTGATATATTTCTTGAACACAAAGGTATTTTTAACAATTGAATAATCCTTCATACAGGTAGGTAGTATTTCAATGTATCTCGTCTATTACAAAATACGTACAAAATATTCACATTACTCGGCGAATTAATTAAAGATGTATAGTATAAACTAGAAACATTTATTACTTTAACGTTTTTCAATAAAATAAGCTAGAATTGATACATATAATCGATTAATATAACAATCATATTATGTTAAAGTTTCTAAGGAATTAGAATTAAAATGATTAAAATAAAAGCAATTGAAATTATCGAATTAATTCGAAAAGTGTTTACTTTTGAATACTTTTTTAATTTTTAATAATTTATTAACTTTATTATAATACTTCTCTTTTATTTTTCACCGAAATTTTATAAAATTTTATTCAATATTAAAATATATAAATCATCAGACAAAGTTTTATTCAATAATAATAGAGTTTTTAGACGTTATATTTAATTTTAGTTGATACTATACATCTTGAATTATTTTGCCGAGTATGTTGATATTCAGGGGTTTATCAACAGTCGGCGTGAAATATTGACGGTCACAGCTCTTGAATACACCTATCTACCTACCTACATACCTACCCACCTAATTATACGTCGTATAGTATGCGGACTCTTCTTTCGGTCATAGGTACATGCAGTCTTCCTAATTAAGCTTTCTAGACCACACGGAGTACTCAGGTCACAGTTACCGGTACAATCACAATGTCTAAAAGAAGGCTTGATTTCATCTTTTCTCGATCATCAGTGTGTAAGTGGACATTCAATATGCGCACAGACTACTTCTTCTCCGCTACCTGAAAGGAAAGTGACAATCAACTCAAACAGGCTCTTTTTAAGTGCTCTGCATGATTTATAATCCCCTCCCAACTCCATCTATTCACACACTTCATATGCAAAATGCCACCTCGCAGCGCAGACGCCGCTAAACCTGCAATGAGAAGAATATAATCACACTTCGAGGGAAATGAAGAACAAAACGACAGGACGTGAATATTTGGTCTATAAACTTTCTTCACCCTTGACATTATTACATCTGAATGGATATTAGTGTTCCAATATTGATGTGTTGTTGAAAACTTGGCATGGATCTCAGCTGTCGTGTCGCAAATCGGTCTTTTACTCGAAGCTGAACGCTTTGACGACGACAATGGACACGACGAAAACTCAATTCTCCCACACGTCTAAGAGACGGTGACTCCTTTTCTTTCCTGTCCTCGTACAGTCAGTCCCTCGTACTCTTCTCCACACGCAATCAGGAATACCACACCGCATGCATACTTGACTTTCTCACCCGCGGCTTCTGCCTAAGACACCTCCCAAAGACCTCGCAAGGATTCTCCCGTCCGAGAGATCTCTCGGGTGGCAATGGTTGCTGGTATTACTCGTGGAAATCGAAATGTTGCGAGGACATCGGGGAGATGGTATTCACTCCACTTACATGAGATTTGCGTGCGTGCGGATTATCATCTGGTGGGAAGAAACCCTCATCCACTTTGCGGGATTATTGATTCTTCAAAGAGGTTCTTGATTTATGATGTTTCACTTTCCTCGGAGACTTGCAAGTGTCAAGTGTTGAGTGGTGAATATTGAATCTGGTTTGGGATTCGATGAATTCTCAATCGAATCGCAAGTTGATGGCATGTGTCTTTCTAGGTAAGGATGGTGTGGCCGGGTGGCGAGAAGGTTTGATACGTTTGGTTTGCACGGGAAGGTAGCTAGGTACATCTTTTTTCGCCTCTCGGCGCAAGGAACCGTGGCTTACTTCTATCGTTTCTATAGATACGTATTTTTCATGGATCTGGAGGACTAGAAAACTATGAGTTACCATAGGAGTGGTGGAAGTGACATGCATTTGTTGTCAACTGTCAAGGTGAATTTCATAGTGTTGAAAACGCTACTGTGTGCTTATGGCTCATATATGTTTGTGTCTTTCCTCAGCCGGGTTTCTTCTACGAGTTAATATTCGAAATCACTCGACTTGAGATGATGGATAAGCATATTATACCAATCGTTCCAGTATGTATCGAACGTAGAAGTCAGTACATGCAGCCAGATCTACATCTAATCACTTGTGAAGTGCAAATAATCGATAACACTAGGAAAATCTTCATGCAATACTGTACTCTGTAGTTGATAAGACTTGATATATCATTATATATTATATACTGTAAGGACAAACATACCTTATTCTAGGAGAAATAAACCCATATTGGTTATTTAAGTATACATGGAATCTTTATGTGAGTCAGTTGATTAATAGTGATAGATATATCAAGAAGCCATTGCAAAAAAGTAGATGGATGGTATTCAGAAGTAAATTCTGATTTCAAAAATTTCATTAGTATACATCTGTTAACTCACATATTCACTTCTTTACCCATCTATCCACCTCCACCATTAAATCCAAAGAAAGTACTACAATCCTCGTTTCTAACCCCGTAAACAGAATCTCGCATATGTCACTTCCTTTCTCTTCACTTCCTTTCTCTTCACTTCACTTTACTTCACATGCACATAGCAAAAACACAATAAACTCAAAATCTCACACTCAAGAAAATAAAAATTCCCATTATGAAATTAGATAATCAACAGCTCTTCCACTTCATCACCAGCTTCAGCTTCAGCTCCTATTAGTATAGCAGTAGAAATAGCAGTATATAATCCATCCATAAATCCATAACCTCGCATAGCTCCATACCACCATATTCCGATATCCTACCTCCAGAACATGTATACCAACCCTTCATTCCTAATATCTAATTCCAATACAATCTTATCTTATCTGATATGATATGATATGATCTACTCTCAAACTGCCATTATCTAATATCTGATATCTCCTCCCGGCATCCGTACACATTTCTCCGGGACCAAATCAAAATATCATATCATATCATACCATACCATGCTCTCCATATCATTTCGCACGCCTTATCTCATTGCATAACTCTCTACTCCATCCCTCACCCTCCACCCTAGAACCACCATCCCTCCCCATTCCTAAACCCACCCTATAACTCCTCCCCCCACAAACCTCCCCTCCCATCTTTCAACCTCCTCAACCTCTCATCCGCCCTCCTAAATTCCTCCTCCATCCTCTCTCTCTGTTTCCTCCGCGCCTCGATCTCTTGCTGAATTATCGATTCTGTATTTCTTGATGCAGGAGCTGGATTCTTCTTTCTGATTTGGAGGGGCCGGATGAGAGGGATGCTGGGGTCGGTATTGGGATCAATATCGAGTGAGTAAAGAGGGGCTGTTGTGTTTGAGGGATTTGAGTGGGGACTGTGTTGAAGGGATGGTGGGGATTGAGAGGGGAGGTGGAGATGTTGTGGTGGGTGAGAAGGAGATGGAGGGACAGATTGTGGGGATTGTGGGGGAGTGAAGGTAGAGAGAGGCAGATGTTGAGAGTGGGAGACCGTGGCGATAATATTTGCAGGTGATATTGCAAACGGATCTACACACTGCGACACCAGACTCTCCCTCTCTCCCCACACCTCCCCACTCAAACATTGATCCCTCCCCTCTCCATCCTCATCCCCAGCACTTCCCCTCAAACTTCCCTCCACAGGACTAACCGGACTCCCCACCCCATTCAAATCCCCACACGAGCTAAGAGGACTCACATCCCCCAGACCATTCCTCAACACCGCATCCCAAGTCCCTATCGTATAATTCGCATGTATATCTATCGAATCATCTACTGGTTCTTCTCTCGATAGTTCTCCTGGTTCTTCCTTATCCATGCTAGCTGGCTCTTTTTCTTCTTTGATATACTCCACGGAAAACCGGCCACTTGCATCTCTACCAATCTTAGGAAGAACAGTGACATGTTTCGCATATGTTTTCGGGATTGCAGGGACGTCGGGTATAGACATCATATCATTCTTACTAGGATGCTGCGTATTCGAGCTACCCATTCCTCGTCGACGTTTCTTGCTGGACGTCTTAGGAGGAGGAATATTTTTCGCAACTTCTTCATTAACCCTCTCGTTTCGCGAAGGTATAAATTGCGAGATAGTTGTCATGGTAGACAGTCTCTCAATTATTCTATCTGATACCACGTGATTAATGCGAGATTCGGGTTTTGAGACGGGTGTACCTTTCCGATTCCAGAGTCGGGGTGATTGGCGACCTTGCTCGATGAGTTTGCCTTTCCGTGATGGGGATAGAATTGTTGGAGATGAGGGTAGAGAAGAGTATCGAGTACCGAGGATGGTTTCTTGTGCAGGCTTTTGTATATTTGGTAGTGCAGGTTGGCTTCTTGTTGGAGCTTGAGGAATACTGGTGATGGTGTTGTTCCGGGTGATTTGGTTAGCTAGAGGATGCCGAGGATATGGAACATTGCCTGTGTTGCTCCTTTTATGGAATGCAAAACCGTGAGGAGGTTCATTCGTCTTGTCGGAGAGTTGTCGAGAATACGGTACATCTCCTGTATTACTTCTTTTGGGCAAATTCAAAACCTGAAGAGGAGACTCTCCTGAGATGTCCGGCGGACAATCGAGCATGTGGCACATCTCCCGTATTGCTCCTCTTAGGTAAAGCAAATTCCCGAAGAAGTTCTTTCGTCGTGTTGTTTCTCTGCGGTATATCAAAACTCCTCGGCGGCTCAACGAGGTCCACGGCATGCTGCGAAGTTGCAAAAGGCGCGGAAGATATTTTCTCTGAAATGCTTTCCTGCGTCCACTGTGTTTTGGCAATTCTCTTCTCGTCTCCCTGAGTATTTGGTAAGCTCGCACTATAAGCCACGACATCTAAGCCTGAACTTTGAGACCGAAAAGGTGCAGGAATCAGCAACCCTTCGATACTACGAGAGTGTACCGAATGACTTAAGGCATGGGGCCGAGGAGGTATGTGAACAGGTGATGAAGGCGTTGAAGTTCCAAACCCTCCTTTCCAAACTGCAAGCACATCATCGATGTTATCTGGTGTTAAATTAATTATATCTCCATCGATTGCCTCAGTGATGATCTCCATTCTTTCCTCGTCAGCCTGAGAGAACTCGGTTTCTCGGCTCATTCTTCCTCGTCCACTTGAGTGAGTATCATGGCTCCATCGCTCTGATGTTCCTTCCTGGTAGCTATTCTCGACATCGGAGATTGCAGAATCCCTAATAGAGGAGTCGACAACTGTAAAGTTCTCCGCAAAGGGATTTCGACCGATTTCGCTCATATATTCTCCAGCACGCCTTTCGGCAGTCCACTTCTGTGATGCATTACCTTGACGTTTTTGAGGTATGTCGATAGGTTCCGAAATCGCATTTGATATCGCAACATCTGTACCACTGCCCGCAACTACACCTTGAAAATGGAGGTCGAGAAATTCCTTAGGCGTAAGATACTCAAACCCCGTAGCATCATCAACCTTCCGATCATCTGCTGATGCAGACAGAAAAGTTTCTTCTTCCATGTCTTCGCTCTTCTTGCTTCCTCGAAACCCGCCAGTGATCGTATTGAACCTGTTGAGTTTTGATTTGACATTACCCTGTGTGGGCGATACATGCTCACCTGTTGCCGAGGTGTCCTGCTCACTCTCCGGTCGAACGATCATTTTCCGTAGACTTCCAAATACATTGGGTTTCTTCGATTTGCCCTTTATTGGAAGACTTCGCGTTCTCAGCCCATCAAGCTTGAGCTCTTGCGTGCTTTCATTGATCTGGTCGTATATACCGTGCGATGGTCCAGCGTCGAAGCTTGCCTCGTTTGTTCCAGGAATAACTAGAGAAACATTCTTCAGCCCTTTCTTCTCGCGTCGTGCCTCTTCGGTTCCATTCTCATATACCCTAACTCCCTTCACCCTGCCAGTCTCATCTCCATTTGCCACGATTTCAAACGTCCCTGTGGCCAACATATAGTCGCTCTTGCCACCCTTCCTCCAGTTCCCTTCCTTTCCGCCAACAGTACTACTAGTAGACTCGTTTTCCCTCTCTACCCACTGTACCACAAAGTTATCACTCTCCTGGCCTCGGCACTTGCGGCAGCTCACAAAGTAATGAGCAGTGGTTGGAGAGGTTTTAATACACTTTTGTCGTGGCGCACTGAGGTACAATGGGCAGCGGTAAGTATAGGTTTGTTTGTGGTTACACTTTAGGATTATCGTATATGTATTGCACATTTCTGGTTCTTGCGTAGTTTAAATAAGAAGAAGAATTTGAAGACATATTGCAAGTAACAAATTACATATATTCAACCCGAGTATGATTCTTTACTAAAGAAATGATGATTCGATCTAGGAAACTGGTGATTCAAAGAGTAAAGGGTCATTTGCTGTACAAAAAAAACCAATAACAATAGATACAAATGAAGGAACGAGTACACTTCTGCTATTGATATTGAATCACAATTGGCGTTTTCAATGGCGTCAGGCAGAACATCCCGAATCCACCATCGTCAGTTGACAGATTTCCGCGATTTCTTCATTACTTTCACTTTGATAACTAAAGTGCTTCGAGGTTCCTGCGGTGAATCATTTTGAGCCTGTGGGTTGAAAACTCGGCGAAACTCATGCGTGCTCCTTAATTTTCAAAACATTCTAGAGTTGATGTGTCACGAAGACAATGCCGCATTGCGCCTCGAGGTCTCATAACCTTCTTTAACCCCTTTCTTGTCTATTTTAAAGCCATATCTGTACCCGAATAGCCATGAAAATAGCATGGCCAATAAATTGAACCATATAATCAATGCCCAATCTTTGAGCCCGAAGCCAGGCTCTTTCGAATCTGCAGAATCGTATTTTTCACACACTTCCAGATACTTCTTGGGGTCATCAGAGATAACCCCATCTATTTTGTTTTTGATACACCATCGCATCCACTGCTCTTCATTAACAGTCCATGCTAACATAGATCGTTTTGCAGCTTTGGCATCGGCCATAAATTTAGAACCGCCAGGTCCGACTAGAATCTGCCGTAGCATATTGAAATTTATATTAGGTATGGATAAGAACTCTCTCGCATACGCTATTGAAAATCCAATGTGCGTTATGGGGAAATCAGGAAGATAAGTGGCGCACAGAGGAACATACTTGGCCTAGATAAATGTTCGTCAGTAACCCTTCCAAAATGTGCAGAAAGATAGCTGAGAAAGAAAGGTTTGAGTAGGAAGAAAAGAATGACTTACTGCCCAGCAGCCTAATAGAACTCTCTGATTCCAAGGTCTTGTTGGCTTCACCTCTCTAATCGACGACGCAATCAAACTCATTAATTGGTCTGCATCATTATCCAGCTATTTACGATCGTTAGCTCGAATTATCTCCTAACATAGTTATAGCGGCAAATGTACCTTAATATCTAATAATATCCATATATCTTCTAACCCAGGTGTAGTGAGGTATTCTAAGAGATCGGTAAGGCGAGGCATAGATTCGTGAGGGGCCTGGACAGTGCGAAGGGTAGATATGTACGACCAGTCACAATCTATGATCTTGGCGTCTTTTCCAAAGCATCTCTTAAGGCTTGGGTCCTTGAGAGGCGCGTTAGCCATCGTTACCACCGAGAAATGTAATCCGTAAGGTTACAACACACATGTGAAATAACCAAGACTCCGTCCTTTGTGATGTGTAAATCGGTTTCTATCGCATGCGCGCCTATCTCAACAGCACCTCTGAATGCGCCCATAGTATTTTCTGGATGCGCAGCTTTGTACCCTCGATGTGCAATAGCTTGCGGGAATGTTCGACCTCGCCGATCCGGTTTGGCTAATGTGAAAGTTGCTTGAGCGATATTAGCCATGTTCTGAGGATCGTTCAGCAAGGAACTCACAATGAGGAACCTCCATTTTCTGGTGCGGCAAAATTTATGGTTCTCCAATTCTAAGTTTGCAGATAAGTTGTTCGCAAGATTAATACTTAGTAGGCTGAGATATGAATGGCAAAGATGTGTGGTGTTAACTGCGAGCCGCTTCAGTTGGTTCAATTGGTACAGGAAGTCGGTGCAGGAAGTCGAAAACCTTGATCCTGGAGGAAGATAAGTGATGCGCTTGAATTTTGGCAACCCATGCACATGAGCATCGTAATTCGATAAGACGATCAGTTGTTTGGTAATTTCCTTTTCGCAGACTTCGAGAAGGAATGGTTCTTGTGTTGGTCGATATTATATGTATTTCTGAGAGACTTTCAATTTTTCCACACGCCAGAATGGCAGTGCGCGAAGGAGCAGTTGTAATGGATAAATTTCCAAATAAAGCGTGAAGTTGTGTTTGAGGTAGCGGCGATATACAGAATCCATCTAGGTAGTCCTACAATTTAAATCGAGCACACGATGGGATCTGCAGATGTGAATGTGAATGTAGGCGCGGGAGCCGTATATTTGTTACCTACCTACTGGTAGTTTTGTCTGACCGCAATACATAAATGAAGTACGAACAAATCAATCAATACGATGAACTGCCTATTTGGTTTTCGAACTCAAAACAACCAAGAAGCATAGGATATCTATCAATTATCCAGCGTCAATTGTACCGGTATTCTAAGTATTCTTGCATATGTGAGTGTGGTATATGGATATATGGAGTCTATCCAAAAGATGTCGGCATTACCTTATCGGACGGCGTTTGGAACTTGGGCGCAAGGGAGGTCGTGAATGCGGAGGATGTAACCAGACTTGGCCTAATCACCATGAAGAATGAAACTATCTAGCACTTCTCGCACTTACCTGGGTAAGGAGGGAAACCGGCTCGACCGGTATCCAATCTACCTACCTCGTGCCTATGCTTCATGTTTGCCTGCTTGAACATCTCTCAACATCTTCTTCGTGAGCCATACAAACATCAACAATATATAAACCTTGCCACGTTAAGTTAAGCATTGTCAGAAGCGAAAAGCTTGATTTTCCTATCTAAAAAAACTTCAGACTTTTGCATCTCTCATTCATCACTTCTATTGTTTCATTATGCTTACTGCCTACCCACCTTTGGACTTGATATGGCTTTGTTGAAGTTTCGCAAATACTTTCGAAACCAGCCTGTTGCATGAATGTTGATGCCCCCAGAATAATAAGTCTCTGGTCTCAATCTTATCTGACGGAATATTTGTCACATCTCAGAAAGTCACTACCTAGGTGAAAGACTTATTGCTGGAGACAATAGCATATGCAACTCGATATACAAAGATTTATGACCATCGTCATTCAACAATGCTTGCTAAATGTCTTTCCCTTTACAAGTTTCCTCACAACTCCTCATGATATGGTGTGGGAAATTTTGGGTCTTACACACACAGGACCAACTCAGTACGCACGTCAAATAAAGCAAGAAACTGACTATTGGCGGACAACCTCGCTCGCACACAAATGAGAGCCCCTTCTTAATAATTATAGCTGATCCCTTCGGCACTCAAAAGGTCGGCATTAAGAATATCGGCGATGGCGTTACCAGATTTTCGTTGGGGATTACCGAAATCTCTCTCCCTTGTCCCATGGTATGGCACCGGGTGAATTAGTCCCTGGGGTTGCCATTCCGCCACGGTATGATGAGCTCCGTAGGCAAGGGGCTGGGTAGAAAAATTTAGAGGTCGAGATACGTTCACATACACTGATGATCTTGGGGAAGGGACGCGAATTCCACTGTGAAAATTCTGAGGGATGCTGAAAGGGTTTTGGCAGTCTCCCAACGAACCCAAGAAAGTATCGTGTTGAGAATCGAAGGAAATATAATCGCTTTCCAAATCCCAGGCATTCCGAGGGCCTACGGACTTGTCGAAGTTGAGAGCATTGAAATCCATACCTGATCCTCGCTCATTGGATTCTATCGGAGCAACAGTCTGCCATTTCTTAAACTTGAAAGTGGTAGATCGAGAAGGAATAGGTGCTTGTGCATGATGACCATTGAAATCAAGTGTTTTCTGGTCAGAGAAACTTGAGAGATTTGTCATTGGAGCCCCTTCTTGCGTGCCATTCAATCGACCTGATGTTGTCAGCCATTGTCTTCGTAATAACAATTAGTTTCACTTACGCAATTTAATTGGCCGCATGTCTTCAGTTTCTGCAAGACCAGAACCATCTCTCTTTGCCTGCGGATTTTCCGAATCTTGGTCTTTAAAGAGCCCTGGTCGCTTTGGTGAATTTTGCACCGGACTTGTTGCGAGGACGGGAGACTTCTCAAATTCAGAGAGAGGAGAGCTTGTTTGACTACAGATTGCATCCGCTTGTAAATCGTGGCAATCGTCATTTGATATTTCAAAGCTCTCCTTTTCTGAATCACCTGACGATTTAGGACTAGCTTGCATGGTTGCAACAGATATTTCCTCCCCGCCAAGCCCATGGGGCTCAGTAAGGTCCGTTTTGTCGCAATCTGGCTTTGTGATTTCTTGTTGATTGCAACTATGTCTGAGCAGTTGCTTGCTGCCAAACCAATGTCCACACTTAGCGCATGCCTTACAAACTAAGGTCTTTGATTAGCTCATGGTTTAACATAGTACGTAGCTCTACCATACTTTTCAATTTTCTGTGTCTGATGACTCCCTCATTAGATGTGAACACCGCCCCACACTTTTCACAAGTTAAAGACTTGGTTATAGCTGGTCTTAGTTTAGTTTCGTCGACCGTAGAGGTCTCGCAGAGATCCTCAGTTTCCACGTCAAGAGGAACATCGCAATTCGTCTTAGGAGAACTGTCATTCTTCACTTCGAGAGGCATGTTATTTTCCACCCCAAGAGCTCTGCCTTCTTGGTCATTCAACCGCGACGATCTCCTGTTGGATTTTTGTCTCAATTTACCAGAATTATCTTGTGGTAATTCTGCTTTCGCAACTGTTGTCGCCCGATCGGCACCAGTTTTCTTTTTTGCGACTTCTACCAAAAATTCACCGGGAGATGTTTTTATTTTTTTGGTACCGCCCAATTCCGCATCGACTCTTTCATTCTTTTGATGTCGTTTATGCTTGGCAATGTCCGACTTTCGAGAATATTTCCCACTGCATGTAGAGCAAGGAGCTTGGCACCATACAGGTCCTGCCTTCTGTCAGTTCTATTATTTCGAATACAAGGTAACTTACTTTGCTTCAGGTGCTCCTCGAGGATTGCTTCTGGGTACAAGTTCAAGCAGGTCGAGCAATAGGATGATGATTCTCTAGGCGTCTCACCACATTGCTTGAGTGATTCCTGGGAATATCTACCTGTTCGATCAATGATTGACGGCCCAATACCCCGCTGCAACTCATTTTTCGTGGTTAACTTCCCAATGCTTGCCGTATCACCAACGTCTGCATTGATTTGATGGCTCTTTACACATCTCTTGGCCTTTTCTTTTTTTCCAAGTCCAGTTTTTGCTCGTGAACTGATTCCTTCATCGGCATCCCAATGACTCTCGTCAAAGTCTGAGTGATTATCAGCCCTGTCGATGATTCTCCATCAAAATGGGTGTTGTCTTACCCTTTGAAATTACTACTTCACTTCTAAGACAGGATTTTTCCTCGCGCACTCCTGCCTTATGGATAATGAAATTGCTTGGTTTGATCATCATACCGGCAAGACCATTCCCTGTTGAAGCAATCTCTATTTCATAAACATACAGAGAAGCATGTCTCCAAAATTCGCGAGTCAAGTCTTTTCCTGGTTGCTTGGATGCAACAATGCTTTCAGAAACCGGCATAGCTTCAGTTGTTGCCGTTCCTGGTGGGTATATAATAAATTCATACTGCTGCCCAGTGGCAACAGTACTGGCTTTGAAAGTCAAGGCTGTTATAAACAACGTTCCAATCGTGCCTTCTGAATCGGCCCATATATTACTTAGAACCTTTTCAGAATTATGCGGAGGCTTGCAAAGAGGAGCAATGGCCTTGGAAAATCTCGATACAAGATTTTGTGTTTCCTCGCGCAAATCATTTTCCGAAAAAGAAGGATCCCGTATTATACTAATGTAGCTCTCCAGCGCAAGTTTGCGAGCACATTTCCAGTCGCCTTGAAGATTGAATTATTGGACGATTAGCATGCTGCAACAAACAAAGAGGCTTTCGTAACATACCTTTCTGTGAGATAACTTTCATTTGCGCCGATGACAAGCGATTTTCCTTGAATGCTGGAAAGTCTGTCATGAAAATCCACTGTTTTACCGCAGCCAATGCGAGGCCACGAAGCAAGAGCTGTGGATCCAGATTCTTCATGAGCTTCCCAAGTCCCAAATTCGTTTTTGTACCATATAAAAGATGGAAAAGATGCTGGAGATCAGTATTGGTGTCTATAGTATTCATATTGCTGAGTAGGCTGATACCGTTCTTGTGCATTATGGACTCCAGAGCCAGTCTCATTTTGTCCATGAACGAGCTGATCTGTTTCGAACTAAGTCGTACTTCAAGCTGCCCGTCCATGTTTCTGAAGCTGGCATCTTTCTCTAACTCTTTAATTCGTTGAACTTGTTGCCAGTTTTGTTGTAGAAGGGCGTACCAAATGGTCTCAGTTGAACCTTTGCTGATTTCTCTTCGGTTCCGTGCATCGATCAAATTTGTGTTCTGTGCCTTGATTTCGATAACCTGAGATTTCAACTTCTGGTTTTCTTTCTGGGAGTTGATGGCGACCATTTTCCAGTGCTCAAAACTTTCGTCAGAGGATGAAACCTTTTGAAGTTGGGAATTGATAGTAAAATGAAGTCCATTCTCAAGATTCGGACGGGTTTCTCGACCTTTGTGTAAGTCTTGGTGATCTTGAGATGCGTCTTCGAGGGACCAAGGAGTATTCGGCGGGGCTAAGGTTGAATGCATCGACTGAGTATTCTGGGTGGTAAATTCTACGTTTACTTCTCTCTGGGCAGATAAGCTTTCAAGTTGAGTTTTGAGGATATAATCTTCACGGCTGCCGAAAAGAAAGTTCGCGGGAAATTCCTTAGATTTCATCATGATAATAATTAAGTATTAGGAATTTCTAGATGTTGAGTTTTACCCTCATATGGCTCGGTCATCAGTTTTCAGTTGACACAGATTGGATTGCTCTATTTATTTATCCAGCTACTATATACGCCTCATAAAGTTTTCAGCAAGACATAAGTGACTTGCTTTTTTGGAGAAAAATGAAGAGGGTGGGAGTAGGGGTTCAATGTCAACCAGGGTCTCGTCGACTTGCTTTACGATTCATCATGCTAGGTTCCCGGCACTCGTAAGCCCGCGAGACACAAATAAATTCAATTGGTGCTAGATCATTAAAAGAATTAATCGCGCACATGGCGGAAATCACAAACGCGTAACGCTACAAACGAAAAATCCTTGGCGTTACACAGCCTTCGGATTTGTACTACACACGACTTCTCAAAACCAATGAACACTACATTGGATGAGATGTTCATTTGATGGCGACTTTTTCTGAGGGCGTATCCGGTGATTGAATCAAGCCAAACGTTAGTACCTAATTGAATGGCTAGAGATGGGAAGTGGCATTTACAGATGTATATGCCTAGGCTTCGACTGGAGACCTCCGTGCCGAGCCGGGAGTCAACATCGACACTCGTTTTTTTTTTCATCCTTCTTGTTTGCTTGTTTGTATATGCGTATGTCATAAACTTTGTCTACTTTCGACGATTGGTTTGAACTTGCCTAAACAACACGAGGACTTCTACATGGAGAGGATGTCTTCCATTATTGTATTGAAATGTCTCCTAACCTTTCTGTCTATTCTATCTATGAAGGTGTAACTCCACCTCCATCTGTATGTCTGTTTATGATTGCGTGTATGCGATATATACAATTGAGTGTTGCAGTGACTTCACAACGGCTGTCTCTGGTAGGAATGCTATTCTCGTCTTAACTGGCTCTATGTAAATAGCCAATCAGACTGAACTAGTAAATACGGCACGGCTGTTAACTGTTTACGGGGGGAACCACAGCAACCGGTGCCTAAAGATAACCGGCTTGATGCACTATCTATACCCTGACTCGTAATAGAGCAGCTTTCCGTTCCTGCCCAAGAGATAAAACTCTGCCACACTCGGGATGTCACATATGCATTCTCGAAGGCTACCTACTAACAGCCAAATAGATACGACGCTGAAGATCGTTTGCACTTCTTCGACCCATTCGAAAGAACGAGTATTTTGCCCCAGCCTCTAAGCCTCCCGCGGCAACAGTCATGTCTTCCCGATGTGAAGTTTTATTGGTTTGATTCAAGGTCTTCTTCTTTGATTATTTTGACCTTGTTGGTTAGTTTGATGCGGCTCTTTCGTTGAGGGTCTATAATGCTCATGAGATTGATGTGCAACAGGTCAATGTGCCAAATTGATTATCCTCTAAAAGAATTTGAATAAGGAAAAGACACAGGGCTAGTTATGGTCTTCATCGAATTTTCCGTGATGATTAATCAGTACTGACTTTGTTTGTAGTACCTAGACTTGTTTTGAGGTTGATGTGCGTTGTTATATGTGCGCAGATAAGTAGTCAGTTCGAGATACATAATTGAATGCTTTCAAAATAATATAGTATTCTTGTATATAAGTCTTACTGTCTAGCATTATTCCATATGCGCACATCCAATAGAGTTCTACTTCATTTGTGATAGGGTGTACCGTGCCCCACTTTACCGGTCCTGTCAACCTTGCATGTGAGATTCGTGTCAACCTTCACTCACTCGCATAGCGCAAGGGGAACTTCATGAATCAGCACCTTTAGCAAAATAATCAAATTCCACAAGCCAATAGTAGCATTGATATCAGAAGAAAACTCGCCAATCTTCTGGGACCTTATTTTATTAGTCTGTGCTATCGTCGCATGGAAGATACATATATCTCTCGTTTTACGAAATGGCTTCTGACCATGCACGTGAGATAATATCGACAAGCAATCTATCACCGAATAAACATTTGCTTCTAAGGCACTTTATCGAAGGGGCAGTCAATTCGGATTCAGCAGTAAACTATCTGACCTCGATATTGAATCTTAATCAGGATGTCGAGCCTCAGCTTATTCGATTCTTACTGGACTGGAGAAAGCTGGCCGAGAGGTGTGAGTGTCCTAATGCAAAACAGTTTCCCGTTGTTTGACCAAACTGACACCATATAGTAATAACATTTGATTCGGTACCTAGGCGGTTTGAAGATATGCTCCATGAGAGAGATGGTCCCCGCTGTTCCTTGACCAATATGCGACATAAAGATTCGACTGTACCTATGGAATCGGCGCACGTGATCCCTTCAACCATGCTTGACGGAATTGAATTGGCTAACGAGGTGGGTTACGATTACTGTACTCATTACCAAAAGAATCAGGTGTTATTACTAGCAAGCGTCAGGGACGTCTTCTACGAATCTTAGAGGCATTTCTGACACCTTCTTATGTGGCACGGCTACGTACCATTCTCTCAGACCAAGTGGAAAATGACGAAAGCTATCTCAACGATTTGTGGCTTCTTATCCAAGTATGCACAAGGCTTTTCAGGTGGGTCATGTTGCAATGAAGTTGAAAAACTACCGGAGTGTCAAAGCGAGTTGAAGAAAAGGAAATGGCGAGCAATAATATCCATAAATTAAGTTCTGCATTGAAACGTCTCAAATAGCACGGGCTGTATAGGCTCTTCCCCGAAGACTGCTACGGTCTTTTCCTCGGAGATGGCACGGAATGGGAGGATAATATTTTGTTTACGCAAATATCCACTCCTGATGTGAAACGCCTTCCACTACCGAGCTCTCACCTCTTCGAGGCCCATTCTCGATTCGCCAATGCATTACATCAATTTTTTGTCAACGATAAATTTTCTAAAGGTTGTCCAAAAGGTCAACGCTTGGGATTGCTCTCGGATTTTCCTTTTCCCCCAATTAGGCTACTATTTTGCAGCTCGTGGCTGTCTTTACCGTCTACAGCACGTGTGTACTGCTATCACTACTTGGTACGATTCGGGAGATGGCTATATGGACCTACAGGAGCAGTGTCGGTTACCCGAGTTCCTTTGGACTTTACATTAAGCAAACCACACGTTCTGTCCTGAACGAACCTAACGCCCCCAAACTCATTGAACACTATACATCTGTTCCTGCACCACGTTTCGTCGACGTTACAGAACACGGAGATGAGAACTATCTCGTGATGACACGTGTCCGTGGTCAACAGCTTCGACGGGTTTATCACTTGATGTCTTACACTGAACGTAATTGCCTTGCAGATGATTTGGCTGGCTATGTTGCCCAATTAAGGAAAATTCCCAACCCTACAGCATATATGGTTAGTGACACATTAGGAGGACCAGTATTCGATCATCGTATACCAAATAATGGAATTGGAGGTCCTTTTAACACAGAAGCCGACTTTAACAATTTCCTCGTGAGTCACATAAATTCTACACCTGCAAGCGCTCTCGGCGAAGAAAATGTTCCGAGAAATCATCGTTCTGTATTCACACATTCAGATCTTCATTGGTCGAACATTTTGATAGATCAAGGAAAGTTGTCGGGGATCATAGATTGGGAATGCGCAGGATTTATGCCAGAATATTGGGGGTTTACTAAAGCTATTTATAAAATCTTATTGCACAAGGATAAGATGGAACTTATAAGGAGGGCATTTGGGAATAAGTATGAGAAGGAATTGAAAGGCCGAAATTAAGTCGTGGGGGATGACACCTTTTGGTTCTCGATAAGTCTTTTTGGAAGCTGAAAACCAGGATATGTTACCTGTGAGATTTCGAGAGACAACCTGGTGCATTTGAGAGTGGTTTAAAATCTTGATAATTGAGCAATTTTTGTTGGCGGAAGATCCAACAGCTACCACATGTCAACCTTGAGCAGCAGAGTCTTGAATCATATGCAAGTCCATTTTAAATCTTGCAGCTACTCGCTCTATATCCAAGTATGTGCCAACAATGGAAAGGTAGGGTCTCCTCTACTTCTTGTTAGAAACCATACTTGAAAGCTTTCATTACTTCATTACTACTACTACTAATGTTTTGGTAAATTTGGATTATAGATATTTGGCTTCCTAAATTATTCCAACTTTCAAATCAAATCAAATCAACTATTCCAAACACATTGCGCATGATTTAGTCGCGAAAACGCCCTCCCCCCTCCCTCCGGCTTTCTTAGAACCCTTATAAGCATCGGCGATCAAGTAATACTGTACAAGCTTCTTTGAACAGTTCTGTCCTTCCCGATCAGATTCCGTTGTGCAATTTCTAAGCATTGCTTCTCAACTTTTTGGAGAGCATCGTCCTTCAGCTTGATATATCTAAAATCATCAAGGATCTGAAGCGCCCTCAAAACCCAGGTACGACAAGTAGTCGACTCATTAATGGGAAGATTTCCATCTGAATGCACATCTGGCGGACTCAATACATTCCCCAGACTGTCCCAAAGGTCTGGATGTATGACAGCAATTCTCACCGCTGTTAGAAAAGTAACAGACACGTTAGGGTTGTAATCGTGCCTCACTTGAAAACAGAATCCTTTCAAGACAGTACTGTTGGTAGCATGATATAGACTCCCCGTATCCTCCTTTGCTTTAGGATTTTTCGCGAGATATAATGCCCAATGAAATTCAGCCTTGTCACCGATATCGCTGAGTGTGATATACAAGCTTTCGGGTTCGAGCGGTAACGGGTCGAGTCTTCATGGTCTTCTTCAAGTCTGAACTATCTGATGAAAAATATAGTCAAACAAGGGAGGATGATCTGGGTGAATGAGGCGTGCTGTGTTGAGGATAGGTCTAAATGGGCTTGACAAGAATTGCCCAGACAAAATTGTAAAGAACTCGACTACATAAAGGCTGAAAGAGAAGTTTAATGGAAATTCAATGAGATAGTTTTAATGAAAGTGCTTGTTCGGTCTGAATAGTGTAAGATATACTTGTACTGAACGATAACTTTCATCTGGAGAATATCTTCCTACTTGTATCTAGACGCCTACTCTATGATCATTATTACCGATAGTAATTTACTCGGGCACTCAAGTCCCAAGTTAGAAGCGTCTTTTGACAGCCTATGGATGTACGAATCGATCTTAGCACCAGACGAAATTTAATCTCAGTGCTCATTAGGTACTCGGTAGCAGGAAAGGGTGCTACTACTTCATTGGGAACAAGCCCCACCAACGCGCAAGGTGTTTTGTGCACTGGCCACTAGCCACCATAGACGACTCTCCTCCATAAATTGATTATCTACTTTATACACAACAACAGAACATTCAACAATTTAACCATCCTCAAACACCAACGGTTTCAAATTCTCTCACATATCACTTAATTGCTTTGTGCTGATCATATATACATTTGATGCCCTTCAATTCCTCTTAACGCATGGCTGATATCAACTCTGCCTTAGACGCAATCTCGTCTGCAGAGCTGTCACCAACTGAACATTCACTCCTGAAGCATTTCATCGAAGAAGCAGTTGAGCTAGAACTTGCAGCGCAATTCATACAATCAGTAGTTGACCAAGATAAAAACAATGTGGAGAACAATTTACGTCAATTCAAAAAAGATTGGAGAAAGTTGGCTAGCCGGTGTTAGTAAGATGACCAGTCTTCGGACTCCGCTGACAATGAATAGTAACGGTTGTTGAGACTATTTATAAGCCACTTGACGCTTTGGTTAGAGAAAGAGACGGGCCATATTGCACCATGTCAATGTTTCGAGAGGGCAATACAAGGCCGGTGCCGACACCGGTTGAGTCTGCTCACGTGATACCACCCTCTTTTCCTCGAGATATCGAGTTCGCCGAAGAGATGAGTTTGTGAAAAATGATTTGCGTATTAAGATAGTTACTCATGTTTCGATATAGGGACGCTTACTTCGCATCCTTGAAACTTTTGTTTCTACACCTAATGTGGATCGGTTGAACACATTGCTTTCTAGTCAGATTCAAGATAATGTGATTCCCTTGCGTAATCTCTGGTTACTTTCACCGAGTGTCCATAAGGCATTTCGAGCTGGCCACATAGAAGTGCGTAAGAGTGTCGATGATTCTGAAGACGTGGACACCGGGACTTTGCAACTGGAGACGGTGAGTAGAATGATTTTGAACATAAGTTTTTTGCAAATGTTGATTTTGATCTTAGTATAAATTGGCATACAAGTATCCTGAGCCACTCAAAAACCTCTTCTTTGGAAATGGGCTTCATTTTTCTGGATCTCTAGAATGGTTTGAGATATCTACAACAAATCCTACAGATCTCCCTTTGCCAAGCAAATTCCTTTTTGGCATCCACCGCCGCTTCACTACTGCTCTTCACCTTTTCAGCATCGAGGATCAAATCAATCGCGGCTGGCCTAAGCCTAAAACTAGCATCTTACAGAAATTGTTTGGATCTCCCATCACAATTTTCGGACGAGCTTTTCACAATTTGTGGTTATGGGTACCAGACTCGATACGATTGCGCTGTTATCGTCATTTGTGGACCATTGGAAAATGGTTATATGGACCAGAAGAAGTACGATGGGTTCAAAGAGTTCCTTTCGGACTTTATATTAAAAGAACGCGGGGGACCTCATGGAATGAATCAAATGCTATCAATATGGTTGAGCGATACACCTCTATTCCGGCCCCTCGAAGTGTCGATGTCGTGGAAGATTCAAGCCAACGTGTTACCTTCTTAGTCATGACACGCCTAAGCGGGGAAAGTTTTCGACGTTCGTTTCATCTAATGTCATATGCGGAAAGAAATCAATTTATGGATGATATCGGAAAATGTGTCACACAATTGAGAAAGATCCCAAAGACTACTCCTTAATTATCTTTTTTCTGACACGCTGGGTGGTCCTATGTATGATCATCTCATACCGAATCGAACTGGTGGTCCTTTCAATACCGAGTTTGATCTCCATACATATATGTACAGTGAGGTAGGTGGGGGTCAATCACTTGCAGAGATATATGATGGAGAAGAGAACATACCTCACGGATACCAGTTAGTATTTACACATTCCGATTTACACTATTCCAATTTGTTGGTGGATCAGGGGCGTTTTTGTGGTATCATTGATTGGGAATGTGCTGGATTTAAGCCGGAGTATTGGGAATTTACACATGCGAGCTTTGGAGTTTGGGGTAGGAAATACGAGATGTCGTTGTTGCGAAGGATATTTGGAAATCAATATGATAGGATTCTTGAAAAAGAAGAGATTCGATGGAGGTGTGATTCTATCTTTTGAATGGTACGCATTGTTCTATCTTAATTTGGTATCACGTTAATGTTATGAGAAGGAAATACCTTGCTGACCATGAAATACGGACAATGGAAAGGCTAGGGAACAAAAATGACGATAACAAGCGGAAGAAACAGTCAACTTGACTTCAAAGATTAAAAGAACTACAGATCAGATATTTGCAATTTAAATCGCAACTACCCCATATCTAATGGGAAACGCTCGGTTAGCCTTTAGTACCGTAACCAAATGCAAGCCCCTCCCCCTCTCTCTTTCCTCACTGCATAAAGATAGCCTACAAGCCCGGCTATATCCTTAAAGCACACAAATCCAGTCAAAAAATCAAACCGTATCCGAAACCAAGTCAATCTTACCAAAACTCACATCCACATCCTACCAATCCGTCAATTCCCAGGACTTCACTTCACAATATTTGAGATATATTGTGCATCTATCGACATGCTCAGTAAACAATCATGTCTATCAAACGATATGTCAAATTAACTTATTGCAACTCATCTATAAAACTTCTAAACAACCACCCACCTAACAACTACCTACTCACCTACCCATTCACCTACCCATTCACCTACCCACCCAACCCCCTCAATAAGTAAAGCCATATCTTCTTCTCTTTCTCTCCCCTTCCCCCTCCAAGTTCCGACACCTCCCCCACAATAACCATAGCATTCCAATTCCGAGAAAAAGAATCTACATATAAATCTCTCTCGCTTAATCCCGAAAACATAATTCATTCGTACTTTTCCTCTCCTCTCCTTTATTTTTGTGTTTAGTATATACAATTTCATCTATCTAGGTAGGGTGTAAGCATAATATAATATCCGTAATCAACAATATCCCTTTCCCCCCTCCCCTCCCTCACTATTTTCAGAAGGAGCCATAATCCCCTCTCATTTCATTTATCATTTATTTTCTATCTCCTATCTCCATCTCCATCTTTATCCTCATCTCTGTACTCATTTCTATTTCTATCTTTATCTTCATTTTTATTTCTATTTTCATCTTTATTTATTTCTATTTTTATTTCTATTTTTATTTCTATTTTTATTTCTATTTTTATTTCTATCTCTATCTTTATCTTTATTTTATTTCTATCTTCATTTCTAATTCTAATTCTATCTCTATCTCTATTTCCTTTCCCTTTTCAATCTTCACCTCGAATATTATCTTTCTCATCCTCTCTCTCTCCCATCCCTCCTTCCCTCGATTTCAATAGCGTTTGACCCTGACCCTGATCCTGACTCTGACTCTAACCCTGACCCTAACTCTGACCCTAACTCTAACTCTAACTCTAACTCTGACTCTGATTCTGACTCTAACTCCGACTCCGACTCTCACCCCAGCCTCCATCCAAACCACAACAAAAAGCACACACAAAATGACAATCAAAAATCACACAAGCATCATTTCACCAACCTTCTCTCTGAGCCTATTCACCACCAACCTCTTCCCCTTTTCCTCATCTACCACCTCCTCATCTACCACACTCCTCATCTATCACCTCCTCATCTATCACCCCAACCCTTCCACACCTCCTCATCTATCACCCCAACCCTTCCACACCATCACAAAGAAACCCCCACAAACCCAACACCATCCCACACCCAAAAACACTACCACCAAAGCTTAACAAATCCAGACTTCCACAATATATCACACCTATCACACACCTATCACGTACAAAAATATACAATCAAACCAAGCAACTTCACAACCCAAAATCTACAACCTCTATCCTCTATCCTCTATCCTTCCCTCTTTTTCAAAACAAACAAACAAACAAAAACAATAATCATCACACCTCCCTCCCTCCCCCCCCCTACCTACCTACCTACCTACCACCTACCCAATCATTAGCAAACATCCTCAAAACAAAAATCTCCCATTTTTCCATTCTAATCCTCTATTCCTATTCCTATTCCTATCCCATTTCTTCTCTTACCCCTTCATCTTCACAATCATCCTCTACCTCTACCTCTCAATTACACACCCAAATTCGTTTCTAAACTCTACATCTCCAGAGAATATCAGCAACACAGCACATCAAAGCACTGCCAGCAACGTACCCCTCCCCCTTTAGCATTTAGTTTACTTGTAGCATATTATCATCAAGACAGAATATTATTCATTCATTAATTCAAAATAAATCTTTCAAAATTCAAGATTCAAAAAAAGTAAATATATTACTGTACAATACAGAACAATTAAAAATCACGAACACAACCCAAGAACCCAAAAACCCAAAAACAAAGGAAACGTAAAGTGTTTTGTTTAGAATTTGTTTTATATTCTTTTGTCCCATCCATCAGTAGAAGAATAAAGGTATCATACTACCACTGTCCATGTGTTAACTTCCCAATTTATCAACTTCTCCAAAGTCCTAATTTCTGATTCGAAACATACAATCCAATCCATCTTCACCTTAATCTTATGCATTCATCCCAACCATTAAATTATACACACCACCTTAAATCTACAAAAGTGCGGCACCAACAAATGTCAAACTAGCAATCAATCCACCAAGGATCATTGGGGTCTTGTCCATTGGGCTCAATGAGTTTCCAGCACTGGCTTTATTAGTACCAGTAGCAGTGCTAGATGAACCAGTTGCAACAGCGGTAACTGATCCAGATCCAGCAGAGGCAGTTCCGGTAGAGGTTCCTCCAGCGTTTTGAGATCCAGCACCAGTCAAACCAGCACCCTTACCAGCACCCTTGGTCATGAGTTCAGCGGCACCAGATGGAATAGCTGGGAGAGCATTAGAGGTAACGTTCCAGGTAGATGATTGAGCGGGGCAGTCAGAAGCCTTGTTGGTAGAGCTGTATCCACCATCTCCAGTGGGGTTAGCGGTTCCGGCGAAAGCAGACTTGAGAGCGGTGAAATCATCTTTATTCGTGACAGAACCGCCATCAATCTTTACGAGACCGTACTTGGATCCTTCCTCAGAGTATTCATAAACGAGACCACCAGAGTAGACAGCAGTCATATCAGTGCCGTAGAGAGACTTGACTTCTTCGAATGCACGGGTGTTGGTGTTGCAACCATACTCGGAAAGGCTACAATAGATGAGTTTGGAATTTCATGAATTGAGGAAGTTAGTACTTACAAAATAGGAAGTCCATAGCCAGTGAAGTTCTTGACCTTTTGATCCCAACCAGAGGTTGTAAATGAAGATGGATCACACCAAGAGTAATCGTTGAAGGCGAAGAAATCACTACGCTCATCATCGGTACCGCAGTTCATGTATTGAGCCATCTCCAATCTGTTAGAATCAACATCAGCAGCAGAGTAACCGACTGGGATCGGACGGTATCCACGGCTTCCGATGTATTGTCTCATATCACGGGTAACAGCCTTGACGTATGGGGCAGCACTGGTGGTGGTATCATCGTTGATAACCTCATTTCCTGAGAAGAAAGCCAAGGTGTTGGTGTAGTTGGCAAAAGCATCGATGGTGGCAAAGATGTTTTGAAGGTAAACGGAGTTGTAGGAAGGAGCTGGGGTAGCACGGTTAAGGGAGTACAATGGTGTGTTGACATCGAGCACCAAATAAATTCCTGCATCTGCCAATGCGGTCATGCAGTCATCGTGGTTGGCAGTGTTGTCAACGGAGTAAACACGAACAGTGTTGATACCGAGCTCCTTGAACTTTGCAATATCACGAGTGCAAGTGGTCTTGTCGGCAATAGGATCGATGATTTTGGAAGAGCCTCCTGGTTGATAATCGACTCCACGGATATAGAATCGGTCGTTACCAGCGAAGAAAGCTATGGCAGATTAGTCAATTATTCTCGAGTCTATGGAATCCAAACAATCTTACCATTTCCCTTGGTTGTGATGGCAGTAAGAGATGAAGATGACGCTCTTGGTGCCAAATTCTCAACTGGAGATGGGGCAGCCAAAGCAGAGCCAGCAGCGGCCAAAGTAGCGATTGTGTTGAAAGTCTTCATTTTGACTTTGATTCTGTGGAATTGAGAATTGGTTTCGAAGTTTTGGAGAGATACGAAAGTTGACGGTCAATAGAAATCGATTGAGGTAAAGGGAAAAATGGTTACAAGTGTAAAAAGGTTTGGTGAATGCTCCAAAGTGAGTGAGAAGCAGTTCAAGAAGGCACCGATTAGAAGATTGTTAATAAAATGGCAACTACAACGAACGACAGTGCCCAAAGGTCAATGGAAGAAGGTTGGAGAGGTTGGAGAAGAAAGTTTTGATGTATTAATGGAAGGAGGAGAAAGAATTGAGAGAGAGAGAGAGAGTGTGTGTGTGTGTGTGTGCGAGAGACAGAAGAGTGAGTTTAATAAAGGGATGCGTCCAGAATATCTAGAATTATTCACAGCCAAGATTAATTACCTAGTATAATTTTACTTATTAGCAGTGTGCAACAGAGGCCAATCCAAGCCTCTCTTCGTTCCCATTCAAAGTTCCACCTCCATGCCTTCCATACTTTTAATGCGAGCTAATCCTAATAGAGTATAGATCTTTCGCGATCATAGTGATAATCAGGAGTTTGCGCTTGGCATTCAAGGTTTAGAGTTATTTACCGGGTCCGAAGTTCGAACTTTCTCAATCACCAGGGGTATTCACCACGAATCATGACTCCACTTTCACTTGATTGGATCTCTGGGTCGGGAAAGGCTCGTGTTGAGGTTTATTTTGAGAGATGGGTACGGGAGAGTGTGAAGCTTGGAATTGGATTGGTATGGATGTGTATGGCTGTGTACGGAGTATGCTTGTAGGTATAGAAGATGTCTCTCATGATCTTACCAGTCATGTAATGAATGAGCACAGCCTCAATATTTCCATGCCTCACTCTTTGATATTAGTCTGGTAAAAGGACCTTGGTCTTCAATCAATACATTTCTCGTATTGCCATCCGGTGTTTCATTCCTTTCTCTATATACCAACCAACCAACCATATCATCCATCAAAGAATATCAACAGCAGTAACTTCAAGATCATCCATCCACTTCATATCATCCATTCAACTTTCATCTCAAATCACACTTCATCACATCATCATCATCATCAAACCACCTAGCAACAAAAGCATTGAACATCATCATCACGACCATCATCACGACCATCACCACAACCACCATCATCACAACCAAACAATCACTCCAATCACTCAACCTCAAACTAAATATAAAACACGGCTCCATTCTTTTCATCTCCACTCCCATCCACTCTCTCGCTCTTCTCTCCATAATTCCATACTTCCATGATTCCCCAAGAAAAGAAGCAGAGCGCATCGGTTTCCAAGATCAAATCATCCATCATCATCAAACGATTCAATTCGAATTGGCTATCCACTCTCGAGCCACTCTCATACCAAGTATCCACTACTGACTCTCCCATTCTCCATTCTCCATCCTCAATTCTCAAACATTCATTCCATCATCAAATCATAAGGATAATCATCATCTCCATTTTCTACTCCATTTTCTTCTCCATCCAAACCTCCAAATCAACCCACCACAAGGCAATCATCATTTCAAACCTCAAATTCAACCACCAGTCAATCAACATTCAAACTCCTCAATCCTACCCAACCCCAACAACCAACAGTCTATTCCTACATATCAAGCAACACATCAAGTCAAGATGATTTCCCAATTCCTGTTGGTCTTTTGACTCAAAATAATACTCCTCAGCGCGTACCTCCTGATTCTTACAGTACCACTCACATATCCCCATTCAAACTCCTACAACATATATATTCCTTCCACAATCAACCCAACCCAACCCAGCCCAAACCCTATCCCCTTCCTCCCACATGTGACATCTCCCGAATCCCAATTTCGATCGACGAATTGCCGATTCCTTCCAACAAGGATTTCCATTACACGTTATATTTTCATTCCCTTTCCATCCTCCGATCTTCAAAGGGGTTCGATTTCCAACTTCTCTGATACGAGGTCACAGCTGTTTTTAGGGGTCGTATTGATTACTTCATTTTGATGTGATTTGTGGTAATATGCAACAATACTCTCTGTAGAAAAGATTGAGATTTTTTGTTCTAGAAACTGGTTTCTATTTTCATACCTAGGTCCTAGGTATTCAAAGTACTGGACTAACTAGATATCTGAGTGAGGACGGACACTCAAACAAGTTCGAAATTCCATAGGAATAAATAAATACTCGTAAACGAATGAACGAATGAGATGTAAAGATGTCGGATTTTTAATCATCGCTCATGAAAGAAGATCAACAATTGGGTTGATTTAGTCGCGTTTCAGACTCTTCTATCTACTTGCATTCTATCTACATACTACCAACCTTTCCTATTAGATATCTCACAATATCATCCATTGTAATTAGCAATCCCACTTCCACAGAATACATTATCATACCATACATACCGTACTCCAAGAACGAAATTTTCAATTGTTTACCTTGGAAGATCTTGGATGGCCTTGGATGAAACTTGGCCTGCTGTGGCTGCTGTGGATCGAGGATGCCTGTGAATTGGATTGAGATTGGATTGGGATTGGGATTGAGATTGGATTGCCCAGGTGAGATGAATTGAATTGAAGGGAATGGAATTGAATTGAATTGAACCGAGATAAACTCCCTCCTCTCCTTCTCCCGTCCATCTCCTTTATACAACTCCCTCGCACCTAGAAAAATACACTCCTTGAAGAATCAACTGGCAAACAGAAAAATGTATCTAAACAAATACATGTATTGAAGATGAAAATATGATTCATCCTTGAATATTTTGGGATTCTTCAAATTCTTCAAAATCTTAGGGTTCTTTGATTTTTCTTGGAGGTGTTGGCTTTTCTCTCTTGAGGTCTTGGAGATTGTTTTCTCTTGATCGTTTCTCTTGAGCATCTTAGAGTCTAGCTGTATAAGTATATATATATGTGAGTGAAACAATAATACCTTATATTTTTTTCTCTTGTTTTTTCTACAGAAAAACTCAGCTATACCGGACTGAGATATACCGGAAACTTGAATTAACCGGACTTTTTTTTTTCTTTTTTTCTGAAATTTATATGAGAATATCGGAATTTCAATAAAAACTAATAATATAATTTATTATCGAGCGGATTATATTATTAAGTAGATCATTTTAAAATACATATAAAATTCGTTTATATATAATTATATACTTTCTTTATTTAATAATATATTTTGTCAAAATTTAAAACTATAAATTTAATTAGATAAAGATTATAAAAATTTAATTATTAATTGAAAATTTGAATTTATATAATAGTTATCATAAAAATAGTTTTTTTTTGTAATGAAAATCGTAACTATTTTTACTTTTTATGAAATATAATAGAAATGTTCATTTAAAAACTAAATATTCTTTCTTATAAGAGGTTTTTTCTTATTACATTTTTTTTCTTTTTTTAAAAAATATTAATTGATTATTAAAATTTAAATATTAGAAAAAGACTAATTTTAATATATTTTAAAGGGACTCACTCTAATATTGAAACTAGTATTATAAAAATTAGACTCATTAGAAGTCTTTAGTTTATTCTATATGATTATCTCTTTATATATTTTTCATTTAATTGAAATTAACTTGAATAAAGTAATTTAAATGAATTTTAATAGAAAAATTTATTTTAAGTTATAATGTTATAATATTATACATAGAGCTTTAAATCAATTATATTATTTGAATTAGAATTTAAATTCAATGAATCAGCTTATATATATATATATATAGTACTTCGGTTTTCGTGAACAGTAAGATGATTAAGGAGGTAAACCTTCAGTCAGTCAATCTTATAAAATATGTCTGTATAAAAGGGATACCGGTATATCACGTGCCCGTATAGCCAGGTTTGTCTGTATGTATATAGGTATGCAGGTATATACGATGTGTGATGGGTACATGGACGAGAGACAGATATAGATAGAAGATGAATGGAAAATACCTACCTAGGGTACTTACTATGATAGATAAGTATGCCGTGCCGTGCCGGGAAAAGAATACTGGGCATGAAGTAGATAGGTGAATATCACCGGGGTTTTTTGGGTGATTTGTTGGGTGGTTGGTTGGTTGGTTTCTCATGTAATCTTATGTATGTGTCAAATTCAGCGTGGTGCTGCTGTGTTGTACAAGACAAGACTACTAAGTACGATGATGATAACGGATTGTTATACCAGATAGATAGACAGACAGGTGGTTTGTCTTGAAGTTTTGCTTCTCTTTTTCTTTCTCTCTTTCTTTCTCCTTTTTGGGGTGGTTTCTGGTTTGTGGTTTGTATTGTGACATTTGATGTGATGGGATGCTTTTGAGTGATGCTTGAGCTTTGAAGAGGGTTTAATTATTTTGTAGGGGAGGAGCAGGAAAAGGGGGTGGGAATAGATGGATGGATAGGAATTGAGGTAGGTTATAGTATACTAAATATCGCTATTATGTTTGTATATGTAGGAGGTAGATAAGTATCTATATATAAATTAAAGGGTTGATGATGATAGTTTCAATTATCCTTCCTCGGAGTTGAGGAGTGAAAATGGGGAGGTTGGGTAAGAGAGGGGGAGGGAGCAACTGTTTGGATTTCTCTGGAGAAATAATCCGCAATTGATCAATTTCATTTATGCCAGATTCTTGCTAAAGCTTGATTTGGTATGAGAACAAACATGACGGCGGCATTGATAACCATTTTGTGCTCAAAACCCTGGGCATCCTCGAATTTTGAAGATTTCTATTTTTTCTTTCTCGAAGACGACCTTTCAATCTGCTGGCCATGCAGATTTGCCGATCGGCAGAAGTAGGATATACAAGCAAGTGCTCTATGTTTCTCCATCTAATGTCTATATCCATATACAACACAGCGCAACACAATGCAACTTCTTTAGAAGACTGCAAAGAAAATACAGACAAGCTCAACACCTCACCTCCCAAGCCCTCTACTCATTCCATCAAACTACCAATCACATCCCTCCGCCAAAACCCCCGCCAACTCCTCCAACCACTTCCGATCTACCTCATCAAACCCCTCCTTCACCCCACAATCCACATCAATAATCGCCTTCACAACCCCATCGACCACAATCGGCACCACAATCTCACTCTGACTAGCGGCATCACATGCAATATGACCCGGAAACTTCTCTACATCGGGAACGAGCTGTGTCGTTTGAGTCGAAGCGGCAGTACCACATACACCGCGGGAAAAGGCAATGATTTGGCAAGCAACTTTTCCTTGGAAGGGACCGAGGATTAGGGAGGGCTTGGAGGGGGTGGAGATGGGATCGAGAGTGTAGAATCCTGGAGTGGGTAAGTTGATGGGATTTGGAAGGGGAAGGGGAAGGAGACGTACCAGCCCAATTTACTTCCGAAGAGGGGGAGGGAAGAGATTTATATGCGTGCCATAGTAATGAGGCTGTGTTTGATAGATTACTATTTTCATTTCGTTATTCAATGTTCTTATATATGTCATCTGACTAGAGAATATCATATCACTTGATATAACGACCCAAAATACTTGAATATTTACCACACCTATATCCCATTAGTACCTCCTGATTTTCAATTTACTCGCTCTCCAATATCAACACATCAAACCCAGACCAGAGAAAAGAGGAAGAAGAAAGAATACATACCCAATTCCTCTGTCCATCAATCAACCCCCTCACTTCGTCTAAGACCTGTGCATAAGCTTCCGCTTTACTAATATCGGCTTTGAAAGTCGATGAATCGGCGTGTACCTGTGGGTTTGTGAATAGTGTGTTAGTTGATGATTTGGTATCAGATGAGATGAGATGATATAAAGTTCCGGATATGCTTTTCTCGCGGGTTCTAGGTAGTTTCAGTATAGGAGGAGCAGGTAGCTATACCATTGTGAATCTTTCTCTCGGCAGATACTTGTTCGGGAGATTTTCTCGGACGGCTCGGCTCGGGATCGGAGCGTTGGTACCTAAGCAAGAGAGTTAGAATGGAATAGACGGGATGGAGAAAAGCTTGGATACCTAGTGAGAATACTTAGGTTGTGAACTCAAAATTTTATATGAATGTGCGCTTCCCTTTTTCTTTTTGCATATGTGAGGGGAGGAACAGAGATTGATGGGTGGTCTGTGCGTTTGTGAGTGGAGTTTTATTGCGTGAGGTCTCGTGATTTGAATGGAGGTTTGGGATGAATAGTGAAAATTGGTGGGTGGAAGTTAGGATGTTTTTGATATTTGTTTTTAATTCGATTTTTGCGGATGTTGATTTGATATCTTGATGGGATTGTGTAAGGGCTTGTAGTTTATGTTTATACCTTCTTGAGTATATTCAACATGTTTTTTTGATGGTGTTATTCGATTTCAAAATGGCGTTGAGTTCTAAGAAAATCCATCTTTGGCGAGTTTGGTGTGCCGTTTATGTTGTCCAGCTGGAGTCCAACTGACCAAAACTGCTCTTGTTCATACCATGTTACTTGTCTTAATATATCATCGAGTTAAGCATCAAGACAAGTTATCTGATCGCTCTATTCAATTCTCTATCAAAACTTAGCACATGAGTATCAACTAAATACATATTCATCTAATTATCCCAATGAATTATTCTCCCCCTCTCTTCTCTTCTCAACAAATTTATGTTCTCCCCAGAAAGGTCTAAGATGTTCATGCTTAATAGTGTTCTCACACCATCTCACAACTTTAGGAAACTTTCCCCTCATCTCTGCATCGATGACCTGATCAAATCCCCAATACAAAGCAGCAGCAACTGAAATATCCGCCAAGCTGATATCTTCCGTACCAGACACATAAGCGTGTTTACTCAACTGACTCCCCAAAAAACTCAAAACAATCTCCAATTTTCCCATAGCTTCATTCTCTGCTCCTTTCTCAAAAGGCACAAATCCATATCTCCAAAAGATAAGCGTGGTGATAGGCTCAAAAATCTCATTATTAGCAAAAGATATCCATTGACGAATGGTCGCGCGTTCTATGACATTTGATCCTAGTAATTGGTTCATAGCAGGGCCGGTTTCGGCAGCATATTGGGCAATAGCATCTGATTCGAAGAGTTTGAAAGAGGAGGTTGGATCCTTGAATACCGGGACACGACCAAGTGGGAAGTCGGAAAGAAATTCGGGTGTTCGGTTGGTTTCGAACATGACGAAGTCGGGGAACATATCAATGGTCTTGTTGTTGAAGGCGGCTGCCGCTTGGATCTAGAAGGTGATATGTGAGATCGAGGGTGCGGTATGGGAGATCTATATTCAGAGTTCCGGGTTTTCAACTGACCTTCATTGTACGAGGGTTGTTGGGGTATTAATCTACCGTTCCGAGAGATGTCATCATGAAATAGTGGTAAAAGGTGAAAGAGAGGAAAGTGTTCTTAAGATTTGCTTGTCAATTCGTCGTGTGAACCTGAGTACTGAATATTGAGTCTACCCCTTTTGAATGGGAGGTAAACTCTATTTATATCTTTCTCTCTTTGCTCTCTTCATACTGACATTGAATTTGCAATTAAATTTTCAATTATTATCGACTATTACCAAGCATCTTCTACTAGTTCCGACTTCTCTATACTATGGTTCCCGTTGCATCTTTCTGAGTATTGAATACCCGGAGTTAACACGCTCAAAGTGCCGGGAGTTTCGCCCACGCCTATAAGTTTAACTATCTATTAATGGATTTGAAGTAAAATTATAGAAATGCACAATTTGGAAAGAAATTTCAATGCATATCAGTGACTTACGCGCTCGGCAGACACCTCCGAAGCACTAATTCTTAGTGCCCGGATTTAGCCTCCTGAAACCATGTCGCTAAATTAGTCGAACGCATGCGACTGACAATCCTACCACGCTAGTATCGTGTGAATATTTGAAATGCGATATGAACGCTGTAAGTTTACAAATCACCACATAGAATCATTTGGTTGGGTATCATAGATCCGAGGACTACTCTCACTATTCTCTGAGAGAGAGAAAGGCCATATCATTTTTTTCTTGAGTATGTCTTGGTTTGTAATGTTTCGGAATTATGTATATCTACAGGTATCTCATAATGTTAGTTTTGATATTTATACACAACTACAGACATCATTGCCCAATATCTTGATACTCGAATTCCAAGTTTTCTACATCTCAAGCACCCAAAATGTCCTCTTCCGAAGCAAAAACCATAGGCATCGCAGGCGTAAGTGGCAAGTTTGCACAATGTATAATCAAACCCCTCCTCCTTGACACATCAGTCCAAATCAAAGGTTACTGTCGCAACGCATCCAAACCTATCTCCGCGCTAAAATAAGAGGCGAAATCTACTACAGTACTAGGACACAGCTAATTGTCGAACACCAAAATCACACCAAAAGTTATATAAATTATCAATTTATTTTTTAATGATAATATAGTGTATATATAATGAATTTCATATTAATTTTATTATTTTTAATTAAATTTTAATAAAAATAAGATCATTTATTTTTAGGATTTTTATTTATTATAAAATCTATATAGAAAGTTAATATAAATCCAAAATATTAAAATTTACTAATAAAATAAACGAAAATTAAGAACTTTTTTTAATATCAATTCAATCTTATATATAATAATATTCTTATCTTTTAAAATCATAAAAAAATCAGTTCTAGATTTTTGAATATTGAATAAAAATATGTCTAAAATTTTAATTGATTTTAATGATTTTGAATATTTATTTTTTATAATTAAAAATAGAATAAAATGACTGTTTTTAGTATGATTTTGATGTTCGACAATTAGCTATACATAGTGACTATAGTAGTTGTCAGTCAGTTACATTAGCTCAAACCTTATTAATACGACTCTACATTTGTTTTCCATTTTCTCATAACGAAACTTTGAAGATTAGATAATTTGCAATTGGTCGTTTTGGAGAAATGGCATCACTTTTGAGAAAAAGTCTCAAGTACCGACAGGTGTTTTCTTCTGGGAGAGATTTCTTAGATTTCGCTTAGTTGAATAATCGAGATACTCCTATTGACGATCATACGAAGTCGACTTCAGCTTAAACATGCTAAACCCATGTCATGTATCAGTGTGAGGAGAAAACTACTTCGTAAACTCTCTTTCATGTTCCATTGAGCTGTCATAAGTAACTTTAATACATTATCCAATCAATACAAATAATGGTCTTATTGAGGACGCTCGAGAATTAGTATGTGGGGTGGAATCTATAGACCTCAAGCTAATTAGGGCTTGAACATTTCATAAGCTTCGAGCACTTCTCACGTTTTCGATCTCTGTAGTTTTTCGGTGATTATAGTCTATATATCAAGGCCTATTACATGCATTCGAAAGATATACTAAAAATAAATTTCTCTTTAAGCTAAAAGCGCCTTTATATATTTCTATAAATATAATATACTTATATAGTTTAAATTCAAGCGTAGAGAAAATTAATAGCTTAGAGCTAACCCCTATATATCTTAAAATCAATCTAAATTAGAAGTGGAATCAGAATTAGTATTAGAATTTAAAGTCTACGAATTCGTAGAATCTCTAAACTTTGAAAAATAATTAAAAAGAAAAGAAATTCTACAAATTCGTCGTCTGAAAAATGTTTTTCCCCGATGACTAGCATATTGTTCGAATGTGTGTTACAGGCCTCGATAGTTAAGGGGCTCAATGATTATCGCTAAGCCTATTACATTCGATCAATTTAGCCGCGGACCCTGGCGATTACTGTGCCTAGGTAGTCTTGACCTTCAGATGCCCTCCTCCATACGAGATTGTTGCCATTACGCACTCAACCACGTTGCCGTATCTATCAGGAGGTACTAATCGAGACTATCGCAACGAGAATGACGATAGTTGATTACGTGCATGCTTATCGACTTCATCTGGTTTGATTCGCAAGGTCATCAATGAACCATGGCACAGAAACGAGGGTGCTACGCAGATTTGGAATTAAGTAAGCATTTGTTCTCGCATAATAGTATAGCATCTCGATATATAAATGATTACCTGCCTAGCGAAACGTACCAACTAGCTATGTATCTAATGTAACAATACCATGGTACTATATTTTCCTGTCGCTATAAATTACCCCCATGGCTTGCACCGATAGAGTCGCAGGCCGAGCTGGAGACAGTAGTCAAGGTCGCTGTCGTGGATACCATCATGAGACATCATATGATGCAAGTAGGAGTGATGAATGCCACCTCCAAGACTCCCTCTTGGATCCAACTGGAGAGCCTCGACTTAACGCAGCAGATGAAACGGCTTTATATTGGAGAGCATAATGATTTTGATCAATAAATCCAGGAAACAGCTCATATTCAACTTGATGAATATTTGCCAGATCTTTCCATTAAGCAGCCGGGCTGGAGGATTACTTTCCTTCGCCTTCGGTAAGGAAATGCTCCGAGTATGGAGCTTCTACTCACTTGAACCACAACCATTTTGACGGTGTAGGAGCTAAGTTGTTCCACGAAGATTTACTCGAGATGCTCAACAACGTTGAGAAAGGAGTTTACGAGCGTTTAGGCTTGGAATCCTATATTCTTAAACTACCTCAAGCGCCACCCTTGCTTCCCGATCCAATCGAGAGCGTAAAGAGTCTCCTAGTGAATTTCAAAAGCCTCAAGAAGGCATTCTGGGAGGAAACTCGGCTTTAGTTTCTCAATCGCGACGTATCTAATGCAAACTGGTGCCCTATTCGCACTTTCCCGTATAATTCTCAGTCCCGGGCTTTTTTTGTAAATAGCGCATCTCTACTGGCGATCCTAGATCGCTGTTGACAGAACAAGACTACCATCACCGGTCTAATAAATGGTTTTCTGCTTATAGTCTATTCATTGCGCCTCGACAGCAAGGCTGCCCCGGCATTTCAGAGTTTGACCATGGTGAGCCATCGCCGGAATCTGCCTCCACCCCTACTAGACACTTCATGGGCTCGGTCTGACAGAGCAATAGGCAATTACGTGACTCAGTGCCTCCACAAATTTAATATATACCTAGTAGCGCTAATTTGATCCAAGTTTCCAGCCGATACCCGCGAGGGGAAAGATCTATCCACCGACCTCCAACGTGAGCTTTGGGCCGTATCGGCACAGAATTGGCTGGAGGTAATAAGCAAGCTGGAAGCCGGGCTGCGAAATGATATCGTCAGGCTGTTCAAGTACGTCACGGACTGGCAGAAGACGATGAAAGATTTAGCGAAAAAGAGGCGTCAAACTCAAAAGTGGTCACGCTAGCGTGTAAGTCAGTGACTTGCATATTTAATTAATTCTGAAGCCCTGCAGAATTATTCATATTATTGATAGAAACTTGAGTTTGGGCTGCAATCTGATAGGAGTGAAGAAGTCAGTCGACTACATATGATATATACGACTTGGAATATGGAGCAAAATCTTATTCCTTTGCAGCTTATGCCTCATCAGGATGGCAGTTTATCCGTGGAAGAGGATTGGACGGGTGTAATTGACAAACGCTGAAGAAAAAGATGCAAGATCAGTTCAATCAGAGGGTCGCTAGTGAGGCTTCTTCACTATTCGGTCGTTACGTGTAAGCTAATACGGGTGGCAACTAACAGGAAAGCGGAAGCTTATGAAAAATAAAGCACAACAGAAAGAGGGGCAGTTCCAGCCCCACAATGGAGATTCCAATCCGAATTCAACTCCATTGCGACTGCAACCTGACTTCTCGAATGGTGATCATCGAGCCCCCGAATTATATAGAACTACTGCATAGCAAAGTCATTCACTCACAAATTCAACTGATACTGAAGATATCGACTCAATCCAAGCATGTCGACCCGACTCCCCGGAAACATAATCCTTCCTCTTGAACTTCTCCACCTGCGCCTACCAGAACCACCTCAACTTATCCCCGTCATCGGATAACGCAATGGTTTTGATCCAATTTGACACCACCCGAGCTTTCATAGCCAACGCTCAAACTCTCGGGCTAAAAACTTCCTCTATGAGCCGAAGAGCATGCTCTCGATTCTTTGTGGATCTCAAAGCAGGACACACATCTTTTACTCTTGAACTATCTTCCTTGCCCTTATCTCTTCACCCGACACCCCTTCAACGTGAGATTCCTCATCATCCATGGATAGATCTCTAACCGATTCTTCAGCTGCGCGATAATTTGCTGCGGGGGAATAATCAATTTGATGAAGTAGAGCTTTGTCGGGATATGAGAGGAGTCAAGAGTGCGAAGTTGGGGGGAAAAAACGGGATTATCGTAAGGCGAGATCCATGGGATGAGAGCGGTAGGGGGGTTACTGGAAATTTTGCTAGCAAATGGGCGTGGGTCATTAGAGGCTGTGAGAGATTATTTAAGTCGACTGATTACTGGAGGCGCTTGAGGGAGAAGACGCCGCTTTTCGAGGGGGATGGGACTAAGAACGAAGAGTATTGTGGGGTGGTTGAAGAAGTCTTTTGAAGATATCGTCTTTTGATCTGTGGGTGGCAGTGATCTCACTGCAGCAGGTTCTCTTTTCCGGGATGGATTTCTTGAGATGGTACAGTGTGGTTAGAAGAAATCGTGTTTAAAGACCTTTCTCCGATATCTTCACCAACTACTGTCAGCAATAAAACTATCTGCGGACGTACTCGACCTATTCATCCTGCTCCGCAAGTTTTCACCTGTTACTACAGCGCTCAATAATGTGGTATACTACTCGAGATGCTTGGCGCATTTGCGCGGCGTACCACCCGCCTCCCCCCGCGACTCGTGAAAGTTTCAGACACGCGAACTCATAAGGTTAATGAGGCCCGAGTGCCACGAAAATATATCAGACTATAAATGATAGTCGTCATACTGGCAGATAATACACAAAGCGCCAATACGATCCTGGGTGTATTTAACCAGACCGGAAGCCCACGATGACTCCCAAGGTCTGGACAGAAGATACTGGGTCTGCAAATATTTACTCGGCATATGCATTATCAGTGATAGTTCTTCGGAGGCTTCTCTTAGTGCTTTGAAGCTTGACGAATTCAGTGAATTGTCTTTGCGCAACAATTCCTTAAATTGCGCTAGTGCTGTTGCATGCCCCGAATTGCGCGAGGTCTTGAGATTCAATGAATTTGTAGTTCTCGAGAACTTTGGTTATAGATGGAAAATCCTATAGCCCTAATCATGAATTCGAGCGATCGGTCCAGTGTGCACCGGTTGGCAGAGAAACATATTAGAGACTGGGGAGCGGATGGTGAATGAAATGGGAACGGGGCAACGCCTGTTTCTCTGGCTACAAAGAAAGACTATGGGACGGCTGAAGCTGCAATTGATTTTTATAATTCCATTGAGTTCATGCGGGAAAGTCAGCCAACAGGTGTGGTTATCATCGTCTTGCATACATATCGCTGTGAACCTCATGTCCAAAGTCACGTTTTCGAACTGGTACAATCTTATTCTTGGCTGTGAAAACTTTCGCAATGATTTACCTCATATTTCAAAGATTGGAGGTACTAACGTATCGGTAGTTCAATCTTTTGCCTGCGATGTCACGAACACACATCGATTGTCCGGAATTAAGACTTGGCGTAGATCTTTGATTCTTAAGGAGAGCTGCGCTGCCGCCAACATGGATTATAACTTACCTTCTTTTACATCGATCTATGTCTATAAACATGTTCTTTTAAAGTCCCCAAGATATCGAGGCCTCAGCTTAAAAAAAACCGAATAGAAAGTGCGCAGAAACTTGTATAAAGATATTGGAGATTACTCTTGACTTGCTTTGAAGCCTCATTCTTACCAAGGTCATTCAAGAAGGATATAAGATCCGACACACGCATCCAAATCTCGACCGTTCAAATAACGTATTACCACCATCACCATACGGTGTGATATTTCGCTGCTGTCACAGGCTCACTGCCTGGTTCCTAGCTAGCTTGATGGCCCCAAGTCACCCGAAACTTACCACATAGTCGTTGCTTTCTAGCAACGACCTTTCCCTCATTCCCAGAGTATCAATAAATCAAACCTAGTACTAATAGTCACCCCATCACTTTGATGGTTAATCAGCCAAGGTTCTTCTTTTGGTTAGCCCCCAAGTTCTTTTGTCTCTTCTCCTCCTCCGCCTCCAACCCCGTCTTAGTTGTCTCATGCACAGTCATGAGCTCTTTCTTTTAAATGCCAAATGAGATGACTAAGCCAAGAAAACAGATACAAGTATACAAAATCCACATTTTGGAAAGAGAATCTGCAAGTGCACTTCTTTAGACAGAAGTCTGTGCTGAAGTGAAAGTACTCGCAATATTAGAAACACCGATAGCAGCACCATTCAGAAGTTTTGACACACTATCCTCAGGTATAGCAACTACGAGCAATTCTCCTTTGTGGTGTTTGAGAATACACTGAAAGACCACCTGACCAAGTACAACACTATTTGCAGTAGCAAGATTTCGGATAGAATTCAAAGTACAGGTTGCTACCCCGATATCCTCCGGCGCGACGAGAGCTTGCACGCAAATCACAAGAGTTTGCATATTAGCGCCAATTCCCCACGCAAGCAGGATTTTGAAGACGACGATTTTGCCCCAGCTACGAGTAGAGCCGAATGTAATCATGATACCAAGTGCCAGAGTCAGAAGTGCCATTGTTCCCCGAGCAATCCACATATATTGTCCGGTTCGTTAAATTAAAATACCCTTGATTATTCCAGAGCCCGTGAATGAAACAGCGAGAGGGGATAGCCAGAGACCGGAAAGGTTTGGTGTAGCTCCAAGAACACTTTGAAAGTAAAGAGGAAAGAAGAAGACAGGTGCGATAAAGCACGCGCCGTGACAGAAAACAACGGCAAATGTGGAGATGAGTGACACGTTTCCGAAGATACGACGACGGATAATTGGATACTTGATAAATCTTTCATATATCCCGAAAACCGCATAAGTCACAAGTCCGAAGACGATGAGGCAGATTACAAGTGCAGACTTTCAGGGGATAGGTCACGCCTCCGAAGAAGTCCAAGGTTAACAGGAACATGAGAGTTGCGCCAACGATGAGTATCGATCCAATCCAATCAATAGCTTTGAGACCCGCGACAAGAGGAGTCTTCGGATTGTGAATATGGAGGAAGGGAAATGTAATGATAAGGGATAGTCCATCAAATGGCAAATTGAACCAGAAACACCATCTCCATGATACATATTCGGTTAATGCACAACCAATGATAGGTCCGATTGCAGTTGAAAATGCCCAAACAGATCCATATATACCAGAGAAAATTCCTCATTGTGTGGAGGATAAATATATTAGCAAAGAGTTGATCAATTACCCTAGTATTGGGAAAGAACTGAAATTTTGCTTACAAGGCTATTCATACGGAACATACCTTTGCCTGAACATATCTCCTACAGAAATCCCAACAAGAGTTATAATGCCACCTCCACCGAGCCCCTGCACAGCACGCGCAGCTATGAGAATGCCTACACTGTGCGATTATGTGGCGACCAGACTGCCAATAAGGAAACGAAATTGGCAATAAGTAGGATGGGTTTTCGACCGAATGTGTCGCTCACTTTACTCCAGACAGGCGATGAAGCTGCCAGGGCAAGAAGATAGGAAGATCCAATCCAGGAGTAACCTGAGTCTGACACGCCTAAATCTTTCACAATTGTAGGCAAAGCCGGAGTTATAAGATCCGCGTCGATGGCTGCGAGAAAGACCGAGAGACACAGTGCAGCCAGTATAAGAGTAAGTTCGTCTTCCTCATATCAGGAGTATCAGACACATCTTCTCGAGGCGCGGGAGGGCTGGTGCGATCGCTATGAACATCTGTAGTACTATTAAGACCCATCGAATTCTCGGATTTATCGAGAGGCCCGTTTGTAGTAGAAGCCATCTAGAAGTCATTGATCTGAAAGCACATGTCGACACTGAGTTTATGGTTTGAGATATCTTGAATTAACCAAAGTTTTGCCTCTTAACAAGAAGTAACACGCAAGAATAAATTGAAAGGAGGTAGCCCATCTAAAGGGCGGGGAAGAAAGGACGTTGTGGCCCGCGTTCGGACTCGGATACTTTACCAAAATGGAAGCGTCCGAATTATAAATTCTCCTCGCAACTCAACCTGATCCACCGAAAACGAACAACATGGCAGTGTAAAACACCGAATTATCTATGCCCTCAAGTCCCCGATCTTCACTTCGTTCGAAAATCTCAAGTGACGTGAAAACGTGACGGTTTGAAGTACACGCCACGTGACTATACGGGGGCCAGTAGTACCTCTCGTCGGATTCTCGAGTTAGTCGAGCATCTGTCATGGAATGGCTTGAATATTTGAAGGCTAGCTGCCCTGATGCAACTGGGCGGAGATCTCTATGGCCCGAATTCATGCCATGCCTGCTGACGGTGATGTCTCATCGTCATTCTTAGCTATCTTTGACTCTCCGCCGGATAAAGAGGAGGGAAGCAACTCGAGTTCAGACGAGCTTCCATTTCCAAATACTCATTCCATGGTACTGAATCTCCCTGTGACTACTGCCGAGATAGATCGCATAGGCACACGTGTACGTGATTGGGCACTCTGATAACAGTTAAATAGGTTGAGATCACATAGAATTTGAACAAAGTGAAGCCTAGAAATCTGTTTAGCACCCGCAAAAGATAAAGGTAAGAAATCTCATGTAGTTCAGACGAATCGAGATCTGAGGGCTTGAGATTACCCCAAAAGAAATGAATATGTTATGGCCGAGTAACCTGATCATATCCCCCGTAGCGTACGGTCTCCTATGGATGATTCTCTATTCCTTCACTACTGGACTCAAACTCAAAAGGCCTTTGATGGCCTTGCAGTATGCCATATAGTACTAGCGTACTGTTACTAGCCACTTATCAAAATCACACCTAAACAGCTATTTTATTACTTTTATTATATATAAAATCAATAACTTTGATTAGATATTTTTATTTTTATTTGAATTTTAATATATATATTATTTCGATATCAATATTCAATAAAATTATATTTTTAATACTCTTTGAATCTTTTTAAATTGTTAATTATATTGCTTAAAAATCTAGTTATAAAAGTTTATGATTTTCGCTTATTTTACTAGCAAATTTCAGTATTTTAAAGATATTTTTTTTCTTTTAGTTTTAACTTATTATTCTTTAATATAAAGAATAATTAAAAATAAATTATATAATTTTTAATAAATTATATTTAATCTTTAATCTAATTATATAATTGTTTATATAAATTATTGATTTTATAGTTTAAAAATTAAAAGTATATTTAATAAGTTTTAATGAATTTTAGTATGATATTGATAAGTAGCTAGTAGTAGTACATAATGATTATACTAGGGGCCTACGAGCCCTCGGACTCCTTGCTTTTTGAGAAAGTATAGTTATATTATATATAATTATAAAAAATTTAAAAAAGAAATTTTATTGAAAGCTTATAAACAAAGTTAGTTTACCTTATAGTGTTACTTTTTTTCGGAATTTTATATAGATTTAAATGAGTCACTTTCATATTAAATTATTAATTATATTATTAAACCATAAAAACAATAATATTTGTCTGAACACGTGACCAACAACGTGATATTACATGTCACATTTTACCCCACATACGCATGAAGTGTATAAATAAGAGTAGTATATGTATATAGATATAATAATTCCCTTTTTATATAAAGAGGATAGATAGAAATAAACAACCCTTTTACCCATACATATTGTGTATACACACCTTACCAAGTCTGCTCAATAATATTAAAATTATTTTTATTAATAATATATTCCTTATATTTAATATAATCCCTATTATCTTTTTTAATTGATTATAGAAGCTTTAAAATTTTTTATACTATATAAAATTCAATTCTTTATAAAAACCTTAGTTTTGAAATTAGTATTATAAAAAATTTATTATTTAAAAGTTTTTAGTATATTCTATATAATTATTACTTTTTCATTTTTTCATTTAATTAAATTTAAATGATTTTATTAAAAAAGATTGATTATATGTATTAGTTTAATGTTATGCTATAATATTAAGAAAGCCAAATTAATTAGATCGCTTGAATTAAGTCTTATTAAGTAAGGTTTCTCATTTTTATATGTATATAGTTTCGGTCCTTATGAGCGATAAGATTATTAAGGAGGTAAATCTTTAATAAATAATAGAGTTACTTATTTATTAATATAGTAGTATAAAGTTTTTAATGATTAATAGTGTATGAACACTCTTCATTATGATCTAGTGAATAGCTTCAATTCATTAGCTACTGTATTACAGTCTTTAGCGAATGCGGGATATAGTAGCCTTAAGCGAAAGCAGTAGAGACTAGCTCCTCTTGTAGCGTCTATATAAGACCTACAACTTCCTATACTTAGCTAGCTCTTTAGATAGAATACAATATAGACATTTAGGACCTACGAATACCGTGGGTACTATGTCTTTCGTATCCTTCTCAAACCAAAAAATAGTGATGTTGTTCGAACACGTGACTAGAGGCGTGACAATATAAGTTGAGTACTCGACTTTCTAACTACTCCTGTTTTGAGTCACCTTTCATTATCAAAATTAATAAAAAAAGCTTTTTTGTTTATGGATAGAATTTATTAAATATATATATATATATAATTTAGATCATTTTAAGCTTATTCTGAAAATATGAGAATTTTAGGATTTTTCTAGATAAAGATCTAAAGCTTCAAAATGTTGATTTTTTAATTTGTATGAGAATTATATATAAATTTTATTTTTTTAAAAAATCTTTAATAACGTTTTAATAAAAATTATTAAAAATAAACTACAAATTTATATTATAAATTTACATTAATTTTGATATAAGAGATTTGAAAAAAACTAGAAAATTTTCAATTAATAACTATTTATAAGAACACTTTTATAATTATAAAGATTATTTTTCCCTACTTGAATTATATCTCTATAACTATTTTTTTTTCTTAGTTTTCTATAGAAATTCAAACTCAAAACCTTCAAAAAATTAATTGGTTTCTTTTTATCAATTATAATTAAAAGGTTTTGAAGATTTAAAATTCATTTCAAATTTATATATAATTCCTATATAAATTAAAAAATAGATATTTTAATACTTCAGATCTCCATCTGGAAAAATTCTAAAAATCTAAAATTTTCAATATAGGCTTAAAATAATCTAAATCATTTCTAAATGGATTTTCGATAAATTATGTTATATTTTGATAGAGATATTAATAAACTGAAAAAGTACTTTTTGATATAAAAGGGTGGCCTAAAAGAAGGGTACTCGACTTATGCCACGCTTTACCCCACATACGCAAGTGGTCCCTCTTCGTACGAAGAGGGCAGACAGAATTACAGTACCTTTTAACCTTATACACTTTGTATACACACCTTATCAAGTCTGCCTAACAGATGTAGTATATATAGTATAAAGATTTATATTTCGAAATTATCTATATCTAGATTAGAAATAAATGGAATTCTTGTTTATATAATATATTCTGTATTTATAGAATCAAAGATGGAAGGCTATTTATGAGTAGGAAGATTGGGTTGCTCGAAATAGTGATTGAAAGTGATATTCAGATTCGCTTTCAACGAGAAATTCTATAGAGATAGCAAGAAAAACACCTTGTCATAGGTAAGTAAATGACCATTAGCCATTTATCCAGTAGACTAAGCGAGAGCGCTGGGCCAGGATTGCTTAATCCTACATATCCATAGTTTAGCTCTTTAGACAGAATATCATGTTGGCATTTAGGACCTGTATCGTAGTTGCTACACCATTTGTACTGTACTCGATCAGACCTGCTATCAGCCGAGAGGCATTATAGTGTTTAGAAGTAGCAGGTAAATGTGTAAAACGAGTAAAGTATGCAATATTCAACGCATCGAATTCCATTGCTATCCAGGAGGATCGTATGAAATGTTAGATAAAAATCAAAAAAGATAATACATCTGCTACTCCCTATCTAAAGATCTGAAGGCGGCAACCAAGTACGGCTCTACTAGCCAAGCCTTCTCACCCGGCAGATACGCGCGCATTCTATCCTGCTACCAAAACCAAAACTAATCTATCCAAGCCGATTCTCGTATTTGTCGGTCAAAAGTGATCCAAAAACATCACTTTACATCAGATCTATCGACATGGCATCTAAGCCCTCCATTACGAAGCGCAGCGAACCCACGCTCTTTCCCCTTCTCCTTCCCCTTCTCCTTCCCCATCCACACCCGAATCCACCCATCTACAACTTCGCCTTCACACCCCCCTGCGCCTTCTTCAAAATCGGTTCCATCTTCGTCGCTTTCATCACATCTCCCTTAACCTTCAATTTCCCCCCCATGAAAAGTCTCTGCGCATTTGCCTTTCCTGCTACCAATTTCCCGAAATCGTCATCACTCAGACTCAGTGTCACTGTAGGTTTTTCTCCGAGTCCTTTTCCGACTTTGCCTTCCTTTTTCAAATCGATGTGCCAATCGGCTGTTTCACCCGCTTTGTTCTTGAGGGTGAAGGCAAAGACGGCGTCGCCTTGTTTGATGGCGTCGGCGCGGTCGGTAGGGGATGATTCGAGAGAGGAAGAGATGGCGTCGAAGGCTGCGGAGGAGGGGAATGCGTCTGCGGGGTGATGGGTTAGTAAAAGGATGGTTTGGAATGGTTAGGTCCGGAAATGGAGGAGCTTACCGTTCTTGAGAGACATGATTGTAATTTCTGTATTAATAGGCTTGCTTTATTTTGATTTATATCAACTATACGATGTAATATGTAACAATCGATGGATTCCAACAACTTTGTAGATTCGGTGAGTGATGAGTGATAAATGATATAATAGTATTTAACAAATTCAGGCACGGAAGTAAGGTAGTACTTAAATGAGGTCCGCAAGCAGTAACGGTTTCACGAGTCGCAGGGTCGCATCCGCACTAGCATGTGATAATGACCGAGGTCCGGTGAACAACACTAGTCTTGTTTCGGTAAAAATCCGGGGAAGCTCATGACATGCGCAAACTTCACGAGGGAAATTGATTTGAGATTCCGGTGATGGGGGTATGAATTGGACTATTCAGGAAAGTAGGAACTTTTAGTGTCATAGGCTTTTCGTGGGTAATATATGTAGGGCCGAGGTGTGTGTATCATTCATGTTGAAGAATTGAGCCATTAGACACGTCAAGGAACACATTGAATTCTAGCGAGCCTGGTTTGAATTTTAGTTTGATATTCATATCTAGTTTCTAGGCACAAATCTATCAAAGTTGAAATAGGCATATGAATGCAAGTAGGTCCGAACTCAGTGCACGAAGTGATTTGAGTACGCCAAGTAGTAACGAACGTAGCTATCAACCATCAACGCCTTAACAACCACCAATTCATGCTCAGACCACGCCAGCCCATTCATAGTATCAAATTGTAAACCTCGCCCCTCCCAGTATTGAACGCCAATTTCACATCTCATATGGGTATCCTCAAGACACAACATAGTATAACCTCTCCCATAACCCATAATAAGACTAACAAGACGCCAAGGGCATTTTAAAAAGACGAATGTTTAAGAATACTGCATGAGCTGAAGTATGTAATCATCACAATGTGGCAACGACTCGTGTGAGTATTGCGTGTTTCCGCTCATTCCGAGATCGCTAGTAGATAGTTCGTCACCGGAACTATGACTTTCCCCACTAAAACTCAATACACTCTGTGCAGGTCCGGGATTTGCCAATGGATCGTGAATATTTGCAGAAGTCATATCGTCCCAAAAGGTAGATGAAGACCAATCCTCATAACTCGAGTTTGAAATAGCACTTTGATTCGTTTCCGAAAGACTAGGCGGTGGTCCACCATAGATAGCACTGTGTATATTGCTTTCACCACTTTCCAAGGAAGCGAGTATAGCCCATTCACTTTGCTGATTATCAATCTTGCTGTACATTAGGTGAGAGCTATGAGAACTTGATCCTGGAGGAGCAGTGCGCGAAATCGTTGGTGAAGATTGTTGTGAAGTAATTGGAGTGTTACTCAAGGATAAATAATCCAAATTCGGTGGTTTTGGATTCGTATTATATCGAGGCTTTGACAGTTGAGAAAGGGAGCTGCGATTTTCGCGCTTGGTCGTCGCAGAATCGGTCCTGGTTCCGTCATAGGATGTTCGAGCCGATGTCAGGTTTTGTGAAGTGTGATTGAATAAATTTGGTAATGTAGCTCGTCGAAGTTTCTCTTGTTGTGCCAATATGTCATTCTCGCTCATGCTAGCACTAATATGGATATACGGGTGTTGCTGTAGGTTGTTTTTTCTTGGAACAACGGAGGAGGATGGTGTTGGCTTTGAAATTTTTGGGGCAGACATGGCTGAAGAAGTGCGTAATAGTGCCGACTTGGTTCTATAGTCTAGATTTTGACTGTCCAGAGTAATTAGAGACGACGCAAGTTTCTTGAAGTCGGCTGCACCAGAAGCATTGCCCTTTTCTAGGAATCTGATAACGGTTTTGACGAGTCGTTGACTTTCTTGCATCAAATTGCCTTCCTGTTTAATATCGAGACCTTGGTACAGAAGGCTTAGACCACACAGCGTAAGCATTGCGTTCTTATTTACGCAGAATGAGAAAGTCATATTTCTTTCTTCAAGAAGCTGTGTGATCTGTATGAGATGTTTACTAGAATCGGCCAAGGAAATGACGGATGGTGAAGTTTTAGGTCCAAGGGAGGAACCAATAGCGGGGCGGTGAATCAACGATCGAATAAAATAAAACGCAAGAGACTATTATTTGGTTAGAGAAACCAAAATCCACATGCCACTGTTCGACTTACCAATAAAGCTGATCGACTGCCTGTAATATCTGTTGAGGGTTTGTCTTGCACGAATGTAAGCTTCAGATGAGTTGGCAGATTATCAGACCACTCGCTCAATTCGGTCCCCAGAGCATAAAGCGTTTGCAACAATAAATCGTGAGTTGTAGCTGATGGGTAAATTTGCTCCAAGACTTTCGACAGGATGCGTGAGCATCGGAACAGAGCAAGAGCACTAGAAATCCTGGTGGGTTCCCCTGGAAGCATGGGTTGATATCCTTTCTCATTTATATGTTCATCATCTATATCCGAGGGATACTCCGCGTAGATGTCGTCTTCCCTCAACAATTTAGGGAGGCCAAGGAGGGAAGCAGAAAAGCTATAGAATATTAGCTTTGCAATACAAGCTCTAGCATAGTTCTTACCAATCAACAGTATACAAAGTCCAAAAAACCCTCTTTCTCGTCTCAGTCGCCAATAAATCAAATGGAAATCGCTTCTGGCTTTGATGTAAACCAAGTCGGTGAGACAGACCAACCGCAATTCCTTTGTAATGCTGTAGGCTATTGTAGTCCCCCTTTTGAATGCAATAAATAAGCGCCAATATCAAACATTGAAGTGTTGATATGGTGTTCTCCATCAAAATGATGTTGAGAGCTGTGCGCCATTGGCTTTCACATAACAATATTTGCTCCTTGTCAGGGCAATCGGTGGAGAGTCCAGCGATACTAAAGACAAGGTGTAACTGAGCCAATTTATGTTGGTCTTTCACTTGATGCGGATTTGAAGAGTATTCCTCGTATAGAGGTAAGAAACTATGTTTGTGTATGATGGGAAACAATGGTGCCCATTCTTGGAAAAAGACATTTACACATTTGTCCGAGAATAAGCGTGGGGGTACGAAGTTTGGGGCTGGTGTAATTGTTGATAACGAGGTGGATTCATTTTGAGGGTTCAAGAATGTTTCTGTGTCAAACCCTACGGAAGACTTGCCGCTGTCTTGGATTTTACGCTTGCAGATATCTAGATAGATATTAGCGACGTAAACCTTGATTGATGTGTTTTCTTATAATTTCCTACCGACAAATGTTCTCCCACTTGATGCTCCCATGAAATAAAGATGGGAATGATCGCCTTCCAATAAATGGGGTAGAGTTTGGACTTTAAATATGTCTTCCTTCGGAGGTGATGACTCTTTTCGACTTTCGACAGGAGGTGAAGCTGACGTTGAAGACAGTGAAGGACGTCGATTGTCGTGCATCTTCGAGAGCATTTCTATCTTCTCATCCTTTCCATCAAGTAATTCCTTCATCTCCCTAATCTCCCCCTCTAATGTACGAACTCTCTCCTCTAAAGACTCAGTACTACAAACGGCAAGTCAGCAATTTTGCCCGAAGGTTGTTCATAGAAAATGAGGAACCAATGCTATGCCAGACAATCAAATGCCGAGAAAGATATGGGTAACGCCTGTAAGTAAGAAAGACCGATATACTCACTATCCTCTAGGGAATGCTCGTCGACTCAATTTATCGCTCGTTTTGCATTCGAACCCAACACCAGAACACTGTGAACAACATGGTCGAATGCCATCGCATCGTATCTTTTTGCTTCGACATCTATCGCAGGCTTGGGCAATCCGACTTTGTGAACTCGACGTGCCCACCTTTATGATCTTCATAGGTAAGATTCCGGGCATTTTGGAAATAATATTCCGTCCTCTTTCAGTGTTGTGTTGTTTCAACAAGAAGCGGTAAATGTTATTTGCGTCTTGGAGAATAGGTTTCGGTACGTTTCGGCGAAGCCGATATGCTCAACGTTGGTTTTGTTCAGCTTATCTTTTTTGTGATCGGGGGTCAATTATTCTATGTAACATTGAGCGGCTTCGTGATAAACCTTACCATTCATTGAGAGGACTGATTTGCCAATCGTGAATGGAGTGGAGATAGTGGAGATGTGATACCTGTGTGTGATGTTCTAGGTATGTTCTATGCCGTTGGATGAAGAAATATTCGCTCGGATAAGAGGGTGAAGGGGTTGCATATAAACGTGTTTGAAGGCAACTAAACTGAAAGGGCCGGATCTTTTATAACAATTGGGCATGGAGGAGGGATCTGGGGCAAGGTATATTGGTACATTGTCGGTGTTGATTCATCCATCCAATAACAGACTACTTTATCGACGGCCGTATGATTGTAATTGGGTGGTAGAATGATTGACTGCATAACCGGCCGGTGGCTTATCCACAGAATCATAAACCCTCAGACTAAGAAGAAAGTTTTTTTGCGGGGATGATCTGGAGGATGGTACGCACAGAGGCACGGTACCTACAGGGTGTACAGGTAACACAATGGGTCACCTTGGCTATCACCAATCAGATCTGGGTAGGTGACCTATTTTGGATATGTTGGTTTTGCATGGCTTGCGGTTTTGTATTTTGTACAATCTTGAAGATTTGCGAGAGGCATCGCCATAGATAACCAATCTCTACATACATTTAGCAACTTTCTTCTGGACGATCGTTGCACTACAACGACCTAAGTACTTAACAGTCACTATCGAAACTTAGTTATACCGGTACGTCAACAAGCACACATACCGATTGAAGGTAGAAGAAAAGTATGTGAATTTGGACTTTTCATGGCGGACTAAAGGTACCAAGAAGTATTGCCATCGTTCAAAACTACCTGCGTGAGGTTAGCAAGTTACCCCAGAAAAGGTTATTTGATTAGAGTTATAGCTCTACTGTTATATCTCCTCGTAACTTTCCTTGCGGGGTTTATAGAAAGATCTTGATGCGAGGGCTCCGAAGACCAGACAGACTTTCGGCTAGCAAGATAGGATTATGTAAGATTTACTACACAACGTCGACGTTTACATCCGAATCTCGGACCTCATCATCCTATCTATATATTGAATATCAAGAGGCGGCTGATTACACCTTGATATAAAATAACAATAATGTAGAGATATTATTATTCTCCTCGTTTAAAGATTTCCTTATCTCTTTAGAGACTCAGATCGCAATCTATTATAAACATTTATATAAAAGCTCGATTTAAATTAAATTTATACTCTTTAGTAATAAACTATTTATTTGTTACGGGAGCTGCCTTTAGGGTTATGTGGAAGTGTTTAGAGATCTCTTGAAATGGTTTAGACTAAACTTTAAATAGGAATTCAATAAGATTGTAATTAATTATAATTCTTATAATTATAGTAATGAAATTAATAATTGTTCTTGAATACAAAGTTTTATATATAAAGAAACCCTATTCCTTATATAGACTTTCGTTCTCTACAGAATTATAAGGCTCTGTTCTACTTGAATCCTTTGAATCTTATAAATCTAGATATTTATTCTTCAATCCCCTAGATCCTCTAGGTCCATCACGTGACCGTTTGGCCATGTGACGCGGTATGTTGGATACCGTCGTAACATTATTATTCTCTAAGAGTACGAAATAAATAAGGTGTATAAAATGAAATAGATCTAGAACAAATATTTATACATAATCTCAAGATTTTAATTAATTCAATTTATTTTTTTCTCATTTAGAAGCAATTATTAATAACGTAGTTTTTTAGTATGTATATTATATTAGTATATACACTACTCTTTTTATATATAAAATTCGTTTATATATAATTATACACTTTCTTTATTTATGAAAATGATTTTCTGAAAACTGAATATATAATATTTAAATATATAAATACTATAAATTTCTAATAATAAATTGAAAACTCGAATTATTATAATAGTTGTTATAAAAAGAATTTTTTTATAATGAAAATCGTAACAATTTTAACTTTTTTTTTTTATAGAATATAATAAGAATATTTAAATAAAAGTTAGATTTTTAAATATCTAATTTCTTATTATTATTAAATATTCTTTTTTTAAAAGTAATAATGATTAATTATTAAAATATAAATATTAAGAAAAGCTTAACTTTAATATATTTTAAAAGTAGTACACATACTAATATAATACGCGCACTGATAAACCACATTAAACTAATAATATACATTATTTATAAATACATTAAGTATAAATCTTTATAGTAAGTTACTATAAGAGTCGCTCCGCTCGTCGGAAAGCGATGATTAGATTAATTAGGCTAATTGCGTCATATCTCAAATTCCGAGAATGTTAAATACCTGTTAAAAGAACAGCGTCATGTGAACCATTGATTGACCCTTCATTTGAAATTGAACTTTGACCTTTAATGGCTAGTAAGGAAAGATCAACAGTGCCCAAATCCTTGGGAACATCATCAATGGTACTAGCTTTCAGTTGTTGAACAATTGGCAGGTTGGCAGGCTAGCAAGGAGGCACAAAGGAAATAGTCGCACACGCACGCTTATCTTATACGCTTTACAGATGCCGTATTGTTCCAACAATTACAGATATCCGCATGTATCTCTTGGTCGAGCATTGAACAAATACTCTCGTAATGATTGCCGACGCCTTGACTCGTGCTAACGATAGTTATATTCGGCGATAAACGGAATTGATTGCGCCTCAAATCTCACTAATCTCACTAGTATTCAAAATCATAGGTCAACTGGTGCTCCCCAAAATCGAGGTTCTGTAATTCTTCTCCGATAATTGGTACAAAAATGCGGTGTCTTTGCCGCATTTTACTTCTAGTGTAACATATATGATACGAACCCCTCCGGACATTATCCAGAATCCGAACCATAATCGTCAATTCACCCTTTCGCACATAAACATATACCGTTCCGAAAGGCCAATGATGACTACTCGTATTCCCATCCAATAAACTATATCTCTATCTTATATTGCTTGTCGAATATACAGGTCCTTCCAGGATATCTCTCTCAGCATACAGGAGGAGTGTAGTGCAGAAACAATATGCAACTTTTTCAACTAAAGTCGTCCTCTTCGTTACTCTCTGCGCTGGGATCATCATGTTTCGCATCAACTTGCACTGACGTGAGAAGTTGAGAAATACTTGAGACTTTGGACAGATTCGATATCTATGAGCACTGTTAGCATACCTAGAAGACAACATACACAAACAAACAAAACAAACCTCTTCATTGATAGCACCATAGGCAACCCCTAACACGTCAGTCTCTATCCGTCTCAACTCCAATGCATTGGCTTGAGTATTGGGGTCGACCATCTCCCCGTTTAGTAATGTTTCCACTATTTGTTCGCTTGCGTGAAGGCGCTCTAGTTGCAGTTCAATCCTATCTCGCATCAAATTCAACGCTCGAAATTTGAGAATATCCTCGCGTTCGTGACCACTAATTAATCTCTCAAATTGATCGGTAGATTCTGTGACGTCTACATCTTGCCAGAAAACTTTCAACGATTGTGAGCCATCGACTTCTTGCACAGTTTTGAACTCCAAGCCGTCTTCTTCGTTCAAACACGCAAGGTAAACAAATGGACAATCCCATGAAGTTTCTCCGTTCGAATGGCCAAAGATACGAACGGATGGGCGTTTTCCAAATGCAGCAACCTTCGTTACACGCAAAGGGTCAGTCGCTATTGGCTCTACCTCCAGAATTAATGATGTCAAGGGAACTTCTGAGTCGATGAAACCATAATTGAAGAGATTCTCGGCATCACCTTTGACTCCATAACTAATGGTTATTTCACTTCCTCCATCCAAGAGTATATCTGGTACAAGGACAAGTAAGGCATTGCCATTGGACGTGTGTTCCCAATGTGCATTGGGTGTGAACGAGTGATTAACCATGTCAAGAACAGGCACCATCACTTCTTCACCAGTTTCAATTTCTAGACTTCTTGATCTATACCAAGCATCGACTCGGATCCAGTCTGACAATAGTAATGGTTGTAATGGACCGTCTTCTTTCCACCAACACGAGTGACACCACTGTATTTGGATGGTCTTCTCACGCAAATTTTCGAAATCCCGTGATAACGCGACCATCTTATTAGCAAGAGAATTCTGAGAAAACAATTAGCAAGTCCCACGGTGGCAATTGTTCACTTTTTATCATACTTCTAGAGACGTTCCACTCAAAAGAGTTTTCTCTTCTTCAGTCCACATTGTTGGAACCGGAATCTTCTCTGGTAAGAATCTTATGTATTCTGACCACGGATTGTTCACCCCAATGTTGAGGGCAGTTTCTGGCTGAACGTTCGTATTATTCCTTGCAATTGTCATCTGTAGCAATAAGAATAACTTCGCGTCTTCTCTAATGGACTTTCCCCCAACTGCATCTCTCAACTGTTTGAAATGGGAATCCACCCTCTCCATTTCCAATAAAAATTCTTTACCTAGTATAAGGTCACTAGGGATGTCGAGTAATGTGGGCAGATCATGCGCATCCACTGAGCTCAGCGTTTTTGTAGTGATGATACCATTTGGAAGGCTGGTATTTTCTCCTTGTAGACATATCTTAGATGAGGAAACAATTGTATCGAGGAAATCTACATTGTTCAACTTGCACCACGCAGGTAAGGAAGAAAGAGGAAGAGGAGAAAAAAGCATTTTCCTTGAATTTGTATTTAACGTAGTAGGGAAGCTGTTTGATATCAATTTGCTTGAACAACTTTCATTCGATTTCTGAAACAATGAAGAACACTAGTCTAGTGCTTGTTTGTTTATTTGTTATAAGTATTGCAATTTCTATCATTGAGGTGTTCCTGCTGCCAAAATGTTAATTGTTCTGCCAGAAGGCGGTGAAGTGACATGTTCCTATTCCTCCACTCTAGATTGGGACAATTGATCAACTCTCCGCCGTTCAACATCTTCAACGAGACCTGGCAGGTAGTAGTATTCATCAGCATCTATATCTATCAGCTATTATCCAATTATCCCTCCCATACATCTCGTTTATGCATTGTATCATCCCATCCTAAGCTTACCCAGCATCTCTACTCTCAAAACACATAACCTAATTAGTATATCTAATATCAAACAATCTCGAGCTCACGTCACTCTACCACACTCTCCTTCTCATCGTGAATCGTCCAAAGAATGGAACGGCAATCATTCCCCTCGTCTAACCTCTTCACAACAATACCCATGCACCTTTTCCCTCCCCTTACCAGATCACCAATTACTCTCATCCAAAATCGTCTCATCCATCCCCAACTCCAAGCCTCTCAATAAGTGGCCTTTCACGACGAGCCCAGCTCCACCCCTCATCAACAAGCCCGCCACTCACAATCCCTGGCTCCACAACCATCATGACCTACATCGTAAGCGAACTCTTCGTCCAAGAAAAGCCACCGGCTCAGCCCTCAACGGGATCATCATGACGGAGACCCTCCTTCTCGCTAGGCCTTTCCTTCCCCGTTCCGCTTCCCATGCAGGACTCAGATTGAAATGCAGTGTCGCGTAGAAGATGACGAGACGCTGAGCTGGATGATGTAAATCAAGTAAGAAAAATAGACATACGTATTTCCAAAACTCTGCTGCGTTTGATTAAATCCCAGTGCTGCAATCAGGACTTGCATTTTCCTAACAGAATGACGACCTAGATGTGAGAAATTCGGCTCTATTCGTAGTCATGTCCCAATGTCTTACCATCCCACCTCAAATAACTTTCCCTTCCCTCCTCACTTCTCCCAAGCCCAAGCCTAAGCCCAAGCAATGCCATTTACAAATCTAAGCTCACAAGACCAGGCAGAAGCTGTAACATACATAACTTTCCGCTTTACCCGACCCTTGAATTACTTATCCCACGATACAATATGCAATGTACAAGATAACAGCACTGAAGATGCAAAGGAGAAATGGTAGTGAGAAGATAACATAAGGTGTGATAAGCGCAACAGGGTTAGTTGCAATGAGGAATAGATGATGCCTGAAAATTTAGATGCTATGATATAGAAACGACGTTCAGATGGGCACATGAGTAGGTCAAGATGATAATAGATAGTGCATGAACTAGGCCAGTACTATGGGCAAAAATGCTTCAGGTTTGAGTGCTTCACAAACCATTGTAATGCGCAACGGTCTACTCAGCATTGATAGTAGATATGACCCTCGAACCGTTTCCAGCAACCAAATACCCAAATCAAATTCTCGTGCCAGATCAGGCCAGATCTCCTATTAAACGCATCAGGACTTGTATTTTCCTCCATTTCTTTTCCATACGCCCATGTAAATGCAACAATATCCTAAACCTCTCTATCCATCATCATCATATCCCAAGCGCCGCCCCTTGTATCATGCAATATACCTTCCTACTGCCCCTACCCCTTTCCCTTCCCCTCACTCTCTACTCTAACTCAATTCTCTTTCCCCTCAACCCTGCAAACCCTCCAATAAACTTCCCAACTACATATCCTCCAAATGCCCCGGTAATAACAGTAACAGGCCATTTCTGCCATTCTCTATCCCAGTCCAAAGGAATAGGTACTGCGCCCAACCAAGCACCAAGCGCACACCCTAATGCCGCACCGAAAACTTCATCAATTGGCGCATACAACGATGCTACTTCGAGCCATCGGACTGAATCTACACCATGGATATAAAAGAGGGGGAAGAGTGCTAGAAGCGAGATGTGGGCGGAGGAAAGAAGTGTGTGTTCGATGTGAGTGGTGAAGGGTGCGCCAAAGAGAATTTGGAGGGCTGTGACGGCAGGGACAGTTGTGGCTGTTAGGATGAGGGCGAATATGGTTGTCTATTAGGCAGAAATGTTAGTAATTGTACAATCATATCAGTTGAAGGGCATCGCGCATTGTGCTATAAATCACAAAGGAAAGACGTACAAATATTTTGTGATTATACTCTCCGCCCTCCAATCCCTTCCGCTTCTCCCCCGGCTTCAATTTCTTCGCCATATTTGATCCAGCAGCTGGTAAACATACAACGGCATAGGCTACCTGCAACAACGCGACAGGCAACAGTGAATGTAATAGGGTGTGTACCGGGTCTGCGACCAAAGCATTGAATCGGAAATAATATGCGGATAAAAAGACAGCTGGCTGGATGTTGGTGACGATACGGGCCATATCTGAAGAGAGGAACTCTGTGGGAAATGATTTGGATTTGGAGGCATCTCCAGATACTGGGTTGATTCCGGACATGGTGACGGGATCAATCAATGGCATTTCTGGTGTCTTCAATTTCGAGATGTAATTTATTTTTAGGATTACGAGCTTCGTGTTTTATAGCTCTATCACTAGCGTCGGCATTTTTCGGTGGGGTGCCGAAGAAGTTTGATATTGGAATTTAAATGCATCATAGAGTACGACGTAGCTTGGAGATACTATAATTTGAGAATATTCAAGATTTTGGCCTATTTTTCTATAAATAAATAAAAGCAAAAAAAGCAAAAAAGCCAATGCCGCAACACTCAAGCAACCCTTTGCTTTCTGGCCATAGCTCGTAGAATTCGATGCAGCAGTAATTTACCCAGTTCCCTCCCTTCTCATCACATTGCAGAACCTTCAAAGTAAGCTTTTAGTACTTCTTCCTACTCTCAAGATCTAGTCCATGGATAGCAATTTCTTAGTAGCAGAAATCTTTAGATCTGCCTTCTTATGATATCGAGGAACCATCCAAGCAATATTTCAACCAATCATCCATCACTCAAGATGAAGATTCAGGTCTAGCCACTAAATTTCTCAGCGAAAGATCATACACAATATCCTCAATCTTCTTCACATTGTACTTGATACCATCACTTCTTCTCCTCAGAACATCATTCTTCAAATTAAGAATCTGGAATCCTGCATGTAAATCCTTAACGAATTGACTGATTTGTAGAGGTCTCTGGTAATCTCCGAGAGTAACGGAATTGATAGCCAGTCGTGAAAGCTCTTCGATCAAGGAAATGAGTGAGAGGAGGTATTCTTCGATACTGATGTGGAATGCGTCTCGGTCTTTGAGGTTGACGGGGACTATTATCTCATTAGCTGTGCTATTCGTAGAGAATCTGTGTGCAAAATAACCTTGAAGAATCTCTCCTACTTCCTCGATAGTGAGAAGTCTTCCTGATTGAGCAAGCTTTCCATCTTTGTTCAAGCCACCCAGCCATCCGCAGAGAAGGATGGCAAAGATCACATTCTGCACATCTCTTGTCCAAATCCCATTGTACCTATTCTTATTAGTAAGATATTTCATCGTAGAATCCACAGCGCATACTTGTAATATGGATGGTTTGAAGCAATGTCCGCAAGCTTTTGAATACTTTCAGCCTCTTCCTTTATAGCATTCTCTGCGGATACAAGAACGGGCTGCACTATGAAATGTTAGATGGCGGGGTTGAAAACAGCTAGCTTTGGAAGACTTACAGTGAGAAGCCGGCGTTGAATGGGCTCGAGATAAAACTGATTGAGCATTTCTGCATTGCCTCTCCAACGTTTGTAGGATAGCTTTCAGTTGATCTCTTACTTCCGCATCTTCATCAATCTTCGTTTGCAGATCTTCAAAGATCTTTGGGTCAACCATTCCATTGAGATCCGACATTTTACTTGAAGGTTATTGGAGGGGTAATGTGGGTGGGGGTGTTTACTTTGTAGATTTGCTTAAAGGTTGAGCTTGGAAGAATAAATTTCACGTCACACAAGCAAAATATTCTACTATCAATACGGATGGGACATTCTACAACGCGTCATGGCATCAATCTCGCGCACACAGTTTTTGGAACGCAACGCGTGGGAATGGAAAGGTTCAGAGTAGGATTTATTATGGATTCGTGATGATATTACTACTACATTTCACATGCACCTACAACTTTGTACGAGATACAACCTGCCAGTTTCCAGTTTCCAGAACAGCATTTACACTACACCCACGTTAATGTTGAACAAGGCACACTCGATCCTTTCCTTACCAATGCACTCAATAGATGGCTTCCTTTTCATACAATTCAAGCCGCTTCCAATAACACAACTGAAGGTCAAATCACCAGACTCTTCTTCACAATCCAGGCAAGCCCAAATTTGTAATGAAAAGTTGTTCGCTTCACCTGGAGGCAGTGTAATACCAGGGAAACTGTGGGAATGATCATGCGCAAGCACAGCGGACCAATCCCGAACGACAAAAATAAGTATAATCAATGTGACCGTCAGTGACGATCTTTCAGAGATTAAACTGAAAAGAACAGATACTACACTTGATCTAAGCCTGTAGAGAGAAAGTCTTGTTAGTGAAAGACTCATGAAGATGAAGAAGAAGAGAGTTAAAAGTAGGGGATTACTTACCAATAGGCAAAGAGAGCTAAAGAGAAAAGAAACGAGGAATCCGGGAGCGAAGAGATGCTTTTATACATATTGGATGGTGGCCTGTGCGCGCTAAGCAAGAGGCCAGTTGGTGCAAACATGTTTGACGAAGAAACAAAGATGACAAACAGCTTTGACCGCTCGGGCTTTGATCAACCTCTCCATTGGAAATGCTCCACTTCGTATTTTGACAATCACCTGATACACACTATACAGAGTACCGAGTACCTACTAGGTAATGTGTCTATCTCCTAGGTAGGTACCAAGTGGACATTGTGCTCAAGAGAATCATGTTCAACTGAACTACTCAAGAGGAATTGTGCAACTTCATTCATTCTACCCAATTTATTCCTTACCAGCCGACTAGTATAGTAGTCCAGCCATAAAGTCTTAAATTCCGAGAAGCTAAAGTTCTTAGTACCCATTTGGATACAGAGAACTTCGAATGCGCATTTCCAGTCAGGTGATATATGAGTTTTACGTGACTACGATTGATGGAGTCGGCATCTACATCAATCAATCAATCAAGCAATCAATCATTGCACGCAGACTTTCTACACTTCTCAAATTAGTTACTTGTGGATTTTAATTTCAATTTCAATATCATATGTACGAGGTTGATCTGCTTCCGTAAAGTTGCTCGCTGGGAGGCTGCCCAGTTTGATATCATTGGTGTAAAGTACACCTAACATAGTTTAACACCGAGTGGACTATATCACCAAGTAGGCCATTTTCACCTCAATTTATATCTTCAAATATAGATTATTCAACAACTATTAAATCAATTAATTTAAATTATTAAGAATTTAATAATTTAGGATTTATTATATTATTTTAATAGATTTTTATATTATAACCTATTTTTCTATATTTATTATAATATTAATTAAAAAATACTTTTCTATTAGAATTTCCTTCTTTTTAATATTCATTATATTGAATCTGAATATTAATTTTTTATTAAAATAATATATCAAAAGTCTTTTGTTTAATGAGTATTTCTCCTTAATATAATTAAGTTTTTTTTATATATTAATACTTACTTAATATTTCATTTACTATTTAAAATATATAATTCTTTATATTTAAAAGTATATTTTTATAAGCTAATCTTTTTATATTCTTAATTAAAACTAATATAGTTTTGAATATAAATATAGAAAAACTTGATTGATAATGAGTTATTTAAGATTTAACTAATATTAATTAAAAAAGAGCTTCAATTAGATTATAAGGGGTTTAAGAGATTCATTAATTTAGATTAAAAGAGGAAGAGGTAAATATACGAATTCGAATATCTAATTTCAAAAGTATAGCTTTAGAATTAAATAGGATTAAACCTATTCCTTAGAATTTTGATTTTATATTCTAAGAAATAATTGATTCCTTATATATAGCTTTAAAAACTATAAAGATGTTATGGGAGCTGCCTCTAGGGTTATGTAGAAGTGATTAGAGATCTCTTGAAATGATTTAAACTAAACTTTAAGTAGAAATTCAATAAGATTAATAACTGATTATAATTCTTGTAACTATAGTAATGAAATTAATGATTGTTCTTGAACATGAAGTTTTATATTGTAATGAAACTTATTCCCTTATATAGACCTTTATTCTCTATTATATTTCTTGAGATCTTTTTATAAACTGGATCGCTACGGACCTTACTGCGCTCCAGGAGCGCTACAGCTCCTTGACGCTTTGTCACCTGCTCATAGTCATATGACGCGGTACTTCGCAAGGACCGTCGTAACAAAAGAATTCAATCTTCGAAATATAATTAATATATACCTTAATAAATCCATTAATTTGATTATTATATGAACATTTTAGATTACTAAAATAACTAATATTAAATGATTAAGTTAAATAACTTGAATATAATAATAAATATAAATATATAATATTATTCTCTTTATAATATACTTGAAAAGCTATTAATTCATGACTTTTATACCTATCTAGTATTAATATTCAATATTTACCCTTTTTTCGATTCTTAATATACTTATTGAAATGTTTCAATTATTCTAAATCTATCTCATTATTTATTCATTCATTAGATATAGGTTTAATAGCTCAGTTTATAGAAAGATTGGTTTCGGTATATTAATTAGAAAAATGAATTTGTTTTTAAATTATTAGAAATAAGGGAATAGTTTTATCCTTTCTATTTCCATATATTATTACTATAGCTCATTCTCAATTATCTAATTATACTATCTTACTTCTACTATTTCGTTTAATATTAGTTACTATTATTACTATATATATAATCTCTATTATAAAGTCTATTTTATTAAAATTATAGAAATCTTTATTTAAAATACTATATTTTGTTTACATATTTGTAATTAATCAAAACTATTCTTCAAGAAGTTTAGAATTCTTATAAAAAACTCTTTAAAAATTATAAATATAACTAAAATATATCTTTAATTCAATTCAACACTTTACAAATTGATATACTCAAAGCTTCCCAATATATTTCATACCCCTCAATTCAAGAATATAATTTACTATATTTTCCACATTCTTAAATTTAAATAAAAAACCTTTCGAATTTATATTAAGAATATATTGAATAATCATTTTCTTTTTCAATTCTATAATCTTATAACAATTCGCTTAAGTTTCTATATACAGAAATAAATTGTTCATTCTATAACTAATCGTTATACAAGGTATATTATATAGTCAAATAATTTGTTGAATACTTAGTTTTTTGTTTTTTTGAAAAGCTTCAATAATTAAAAGTAAATGTACTTCTTTATTTATAGATTTCATAATAAATGATTAATAAAATGTATATTGAATATAAAGAATATAAATTGAAATGAAAGTGGTTTACTTAGTGATATGGCCCACTCGGTGTTAAACTATGTTAGTAGGTAACATTGATTGTACTTGCAGATACCATAGTAAAAACCCACCTCCGTCTCAACTGCTCGTTACTATAAACATTCAGATACCCGCAAGTCAATCATACCTAGTCATGATCATTTCATTTTGTACCTCTTACCTCCATCAGTTGCAATCAGTGTTGTTCCTCATCCTTTTCATTCGCATGCTTTCTCAGATTCACCAACGAAGCGTCTCCACTCCCCCGCTTCTCCGCTATATGTCTAGTATTTTCGGGAAGAGGTATATTAACACTGGCACCGTTATGTCTCTATTGGAATTTCCTACACTACGAATTCTGCTTTTCACCTTCCATATTCAATGATTCTCCCACTCCAGATTCGCCCTCCTTCTATTGAACCGACCCATAGAATTCACGTATCTCTCGACCAGACTCAGACACTGCGTTAGTTGAGACGCTAAGTGTGGTAATGAATGCTGGCATCAAAGGTTGCTGGTCACCTTACTTTCTCCTACTTCTAACAACTATCATATCTTAATGTTCATCTCCAATAGCAGCCTGGTTAAACAAAGAGACAGTTATACTTAGATAAGAGATGAGACCCCGACTTATCGCACACCACCCTTTTTCGTGACAAAATCCCCGTAAAAATGTTGTTTTCCTATATAAATTAATTATTTTTATAATTCTTTAACTTTTTAAAGAATTGATTTGAAAATTGTATATATAAGAAATAACTATATAAAGAGTATTCAGTTTAAATAATTCTTTGAAATTATGAAAATTGATAAAGTTATAGATTTTCAAATGTTACAACAGACATCACATGACACATTCGCATGTCACGTGAGGGAGCCTTGGGGAGCCACGGGCTCCAGGAGCATACGGATCCCAGGGGCTCCAGAGGACGAAGGTCTATATAACAGAATGAGTTTCATTATAATATAGAGCTTCGTGCTCAAGAACAATCATTAGTTTCATTACTATAGTTACGAGAATTGCAACCAGTTACAACCTTATTGAATTCCTACTTGAAGTCTAGTCTAAACCACCTCGAGAGATCTCTAGACACTTCCACGTGACCCTAGAGGCAGCTCCCGTAACATCAAAATTAAAAAATTTCAATTTCAAGAATCTATAACTTTATCAAAAAAAATAACTAAAAATATTTTTCATTTGTTTTTTTTTTGAATTATTTTAATGATTTTCAATCTGAAATATTATTTTTATAAACTTAATTTATAGTTTAATTGAATTAATATATAGTTTAAAAGTTGAAGAAATAAGGGTTTTTAGTGTGTTTTCGCTTAGTGTGCGATAAGCCGGGGCCTAAACTATCGATCTTACATCCCTTACAAGACATTTCGTCTGTGAGATTGACCTCTTCCTCTTCCAATCCCGCAGATTTCCAACAGCTCAGACTAGCAGGCCGGGTGAAGATTTACAGTAATACGAACCACTTCAACACCCGAGATGCATTTGATGTCTGGTTCGATCTGAATATTGGAATTGGACTCAAACATTTAGAGTTATTGTTTGTCGAACTGCAACCTTGACTATTAGAAACCATGCTTACATGTCATTAATTGCTGCAGTCGTCTTACATGCCCATCCATACCTTTAGGAATAGATGCTGTCTGAGTCAATGCTGGAATCTCTGCCCTCTTACTTTCTATCTTCGTGTGTCCAGCCATGGCAACATGCTTTCTAAATCTTCTGTGCTTTCCTTTCATGTTTTGGTTCCTATTTTTCTCATTGTTCAACTCGTTCTCAATTTTACTTGTTATATCCCTTGCTTATATAGGTTAACTTTCTTAGATTGTTTCTATGTTCTTCGTCAAATCAGTTTTTGGTATATTGCCAGATGTAGTACTCATCCAAGAAATTGCGTTTTCTCTACTACGAAATGTTTAACTCCCCTACAATAACACTTGTGTTTCCAATGCTCTAAATCATTCTATTCTTCTGTTGATTCTAAAAGTATAAGTTTTTCATAACTAAAAGTAAAACATCCGTAGATATATTCACTTTTGAGGAACACTTACACACTAATCACTTCAATTAGATTATTCGGAATAATTGAATTCGGCTTATGATCTCCCTGGTCGACACCGAGATCGGATTACAGTCTCGAGAGCTACAAGATTTACTTCAGTCAGATGAAGAATTGAAGAGCTCTTGAGGATGATAGGGTTGATCAATAGTACTAATAACCAAGTAAATCGAAAATCATTCTTTTCGTCTTCAAGTCCTTTGACTTTATACTCTAGAGTCCGTTTAGCTCGAGGTCTACATGATTATTATATCATTAGAGTAAAAGTGTATGCTTCACTCCTTACACTCTATAAGTTATAGTATGAACTTGGAAATGAATTTTAAGCTATAGATTATTAATAAAAATCCGCCGGAGAAAACGATGAGTTTTAGTTTGTAAAGATGAGTCAATAGGTGTTTTGTAACAACCTAGGCAGGCGGCAACTAGCGTTCGAGTACCTGTAAATTCCATGAAAAATTGAGGAGAACTCTAAGGATCCTTGGCCTCAAATACTATGCGCTAAGGGTAGCATCTGACATCATACAACCTGAGAGACCTTGCTCTTTGAGAATGCCTTCCTCCTCGTTATCTCTGTCCTAATGATTATGATCAAAATGTTATTGAATGTTGTAAGCCATTTTATTGTCCACTCGAAAAGAAACCAGGTAGACTACGATTGACTTTCTTCGATGCCTCCCTGCATCATTCCTCTATCTGTGATATATCCCATAGTTCCATTTAGTAATTGTAAGATCTTACATTGCACCTACATATGACTCCTCTTGGGATTGTCTGAGGCCCGCTTCCTGATTCGTTTCGGCTGATGGTAGGTTTGTTCGAGTGGAATAAGTACAGGTGACGTCGCATCTACGATGTAGATCCTAAATCCCAACATGGTGTTTTATCTACGTAGACAGCTAATATATGTACAGGATTAAGTAATCCTAATTTAGCGCTTCATCTATAACTATACAGATAATAGATTATAAGTAGTATTATAAATTGACTTTACTAGAAAATGAGATAGGAATGCTAGTGAGTTACTTTCTAGCTCAACATCTACTTTCCAAATATGGTAAACTAAAGCTCTTAATTAGAATCAGTATTTGATTTCGAGATAAAGTTATATCGAGATTTGAAAGGTATATGATGGGCCAAGGACTTGAAAGGATTGCTCGGGAGGTTGCCCGAGGGTCTTAATAGGGAAGTTCGGGGGGGTGTGGGTTTTTATTTCTTTTTCCCATCTACTTCATTCAATTAGAACCATATACAGGCGCATCGCATGGTCTTAGCATAGCTAGATAGACCGAATCGATTATGAATTTACTACTACTACTACTATGATGGGCGAGCTTCGATACGGAAGTAAGATGACTAAGCTGAGATAAAAACCAAAAGGTTTTTATCTGTCAAGCGCGAGAGTATCATTGGTCGGATCGGAAGCGATCCACAGTAGAGTCTTGCTATACGATCACGTGATGCAAGGGTATTCCCTCTGTTACGGGCAATGGACTGTCAAATATCGATAAAAGCACTTTTGATTCGATTGCACGCTAAACTTATAACTCATTGATATAGATTCCCATTGAATAATCGCACCACTGTTTCACCCACCCTTGTGATGGTAAAGTTAATATTACAAACGAAAAGAAATTCAATATAAATCCCTATATAAATTTCTATTATATATATAATAATATTAATCTCTCTTTCATTATTAATGAAATACTGATTTCATTAATAATGAATATTATTAGTATAAAATATAACCCGTTTATTATCACATTTTTAATAGAAAAAAAGAAAATAAGGATCCTTAAGATTCCAAAATCTTCTAATATTAGAGTTGTAGGAAAGGTAGATAGAAGAGTGTGTACGTAGAGGCTAGGAGGAGGCTATAACAGTGAATAGAAACTAAAGAAAAGAAGGAGGGGAGCGAGCGTAAGGACTAGAATGAATAAAAAGCATTAGCTGAAAGTCTAAAGAAAGGTCTGTTTATCAATTGTTATACTTCACCTTCGATTTGTTCTTCAATCAAAAGCTTTATTATTATATTATTTATACAATATAGAATGTATTAAATAAATAATATAATTTTAATATAAATAGATCTTTTTATTTGAAAATGATTATTTTAGATTAAAAGTTAAAATTAACGCTTGAAATTCAAGAAATTCATTAAGATTCCATTGATTAAAATAAGCTTCGTAAATTATAAAGATTTAAATTAATTATATTAATATTTTAAAAACGATTTATTCAATATATAATTAAAAGATTAAAGAATTTATTATAATAACGAAAAGTTCACTTCGTCAAGTACTAATTCTGCCACCATGTTACGGGAGCTGCCTCTAGGGTCACGTGGAAGTGTCTAGAGATCTCTCGAGGTGGTTTAGACTAGACTTCAAGTAGGAATTCAATAAGGTTGTAACTGGTTGCAATTCTCGTAACTATAGTAATGAAACTAATGATTGTTCTTGAGCACGAAGCTCTACATTGTAATGAAATCTGTTCTCTTATATAGACCTTCCTGCTCTGCAGAACCTACAGTTCTGTCTTGTCTGGATCCTCTGGATCCTATGGATCTAGATGTTTATTCTTCGATCCCCTAGATCCTCTAGGTCCATCACGTGACTTCCTGACCATGTGACGCGGTATATTGGATGCCGTCGTAACACACCACAGGGCACTGTATGATAGTAATTCTCCTTTTGGTGTCAATACTAGTACTTTCTTGACCTTGGCATCGCGCCGTTGATAAACTCCCCAGTGCTTCACCCGTTTCATGTAATGCTTCTTTTCCACCCAGTTATAACTCATTCTCGCCACCCCTACCATCTTTCAAATTATAGTGCGATCATGTGATCAAATTCTCCATCCATCAGCCAAGCCGTGTACATCTTGCACTGCATCCATGACCAACAAGCGTCGTCTAAGTCTTCGGTTTGCTCTTCTTAAGCGAACTCTTTCCCTGTTGGACAGAATCCTACGTCGGACTACTCGCCTGGCGAGAAGTGCTCTTTGGCGGGTAACATTTGCTTCTAGCGCCGTGATGCGAGTCTCAGAGTTATCGCCTTGGATTCTCAGCCGATTCTGAGACTCAATGTATTGTGCTTCCAGCTCTGTGATATGATTCTCAAGGTACTCGATTTGTGTTCCGAGCATCAAGGTTTGGGTTTGAGAATCTTCAAACATCAGTTCCAGCCTCAAGATGCGATTTCTCGAATCATCATCCCGTGCCTCATCATTTCTCACATCAATCTCCGCATTTGGTGGTGGGGGTGGTTGCTGCTAACCATGCAAATTGCATTCTTGCTGTGGGGCACAACTCATCTCTACAGGTCTATACTAGCAGGCCCGGAAATCTGCTATGATGGAAGCAAGTTGTTCTTGCGTCAGTTCTCGTTGCAGAGATTCGAGTCGAAAATAGAGGGCGTGTTTACTCTCTCCTGGTCTGGCTCGAGCGACTTTGTGGTTCTTTCTGGCCAGTATATCGATCGCGATTCGTAAAAGGAAGACTGACCATGTGCTTTAGACATGTCCAAATAATAGTGGAGCATTCATTGTGTCGGATCTTTATAAGTTAGTATTCAGTGAACACAGAACAGATGAGATGAAGACTGAATGCCCTGGATTAATATAGACTCAAGAAAGCGTAGCTCCAGAAACAGAGTGTATCCCAAGAAACACAAGAGTTACTTACTATTCTTTAACGTGCCTGGAAGCTGGAAGAAAGTGTTGACTTGTGGAACCTCGATACCGAGGCAAAGCAGCGAGGAACAATTTTTCGATGACCCTTTGCGCCTTTTCCCGTCTTGGAGCTTGATATGAGGCCAAAGGAAGAGGTTTTGAGGGTTCTTTTCGTTTCGAGTCCTGAATGAAAGGAAGAAGAGCCCAAGTTTTCTCGAGCTTCTCTTTCGATCTTGAGCTAATGAAAGATATATGAATTGTGTATGTAAACCGCGATCAATTAAACTCCTTAGTCGGTGTTTGGTTGTGTAGAGGGGAAGAAAATCTGTGACAAGGAACCAAGGTGGAAGTGTATTTACTAGAAGGATTGGGCTAGTTGAGAATGAGGTTCAAGATGATATTGAATTCACTATCAATGGAAGATTTATATGAGGATCGTCTATTCACTCTTCATTGGCCAAACCTGTTTAATCCCCTCCCCCCTTTCCCACCTCCAAAACGGTCCAGATTTTCTCTCCTACCTACCTACCTACCTATCATTTATTAACAACCACCTCATTTTCGCAGACGAAAAGACCAGGAGCGTCGACATCATGTCAGAAAATCCACACGTCAATCCGTAGGGCTGGTAGCAGTAGGCTGCGCACAAATTATCTATACCCGTGAATTATCTATGAATAATTTGCTTTATAGGTTATTTATTAAAGGTTCTATTTGCTTTATGGATTATTTATTAAGGCTTTAAAATTATCTGTTTTGTATAAATAATCCATAGATTATCTATAAATAATTCATTTATTTATGGATAGGTGGATTATTTACGGATATATAGATTATTTATGAATAATTTATGAATTATATAAATATATTTGCTTTTTTCGCTTAAAATATGAAGCTATTCCCAAATTATTTTCCAGTTTAAAAATGATTTTATATTAATTTTGATATTAATCATAAAATTATATTAATCATAAAATTATATTAATCATAAAATTATATTAATATTATAAAAGATTATAAATAAATATTTATAAGTAATTTGTATTTACTCTATAGATTATCTATTTAGATTTTTGAATTATTCGTTTTGTAAATAGATTATTTGTGGATTATCTATCAAGACCATTATTCGTCTTGTAGATACTCGTTATGCAGCCTAGGCAGCAGCGATTACCCCAGCCCAAGAAATCTATCAGCTGCTGCTATTGTGGTGACGACGATTTCAAATGTCGTAATTCCGTCACAAAGTTGTACAGCTCATGGCTTGATATGTCTGGGCTGTTTGGCAGAATATCTGGAGAGGCAGATCGGTATAGATGGAGACCCTCAATCAACATTAAGTCCGAACGAGATAGGCTTTACGGCAGTCGGATCGACCTTAGTGCAATGCCCAATAATCAGATGTACACAGTTCATTGATATCGACACTGTGCGAAAGTACGCAAGGCCAGAAACGTTTGTAAGGTATGTAATATTGCATCAATACTGCCTCAAGATTGGCTCGAAGATAATTTAATACTTAGATATATGAGCGTTACATTGCCAACCAAGTCATGAAGTCTGCGGGTGGCTCCAAGAAATCTCATCCTCCAGACTGTCACCATGGAAAGATCGTATTGCGGGTAGAAGAGTGGTGGGGCTGTTCTTACCGCAATTGCACAGAACCAGAACCTGATGCAGAAAGAGCAGAAGCCAGAGCTGGTGCAACGTACGCGATGTATCACAACAGCAATTGCAGGAAGCACGAACAGAAGTGCGTGGGTTGAAAAGGTGCATCTCAGAGATGGAGGATGCCAACGCCAAAGAATAGGCTGAATCAGCAGTTTAGAGACAAGAGTTAACACTGATTCAGGCGGGTGGTGATGGTAGCGGGAGAAGTTATGATAGACGGCATTGAGAATAGAAGTGGTGGACAAAGGTTGAATAGCAGATCATATGACTTGAGGCAGAGAAAGTACAAGATGTTAATCACGGGAGAAGCTATTATGGACGACATTGGGAATAGAGGTGAAGGATAGGTGAAGGCATAACGTGTTTTTAGGGGTGGAATATTGGCAATCTGATCAGTTGACGGAAAACAAAGTTCAAGGCGGCAACGAGTAAGAAAAACTTTCATTCAGTAGATACTTAGATCGGCGATGCGACAAAAAAGCTATGGCGGTATCGTCGAACAGCTAGTTCGATTTATTTTAGCTTGCAAAACAATCAAAAGCGCTTTTATCGTTAATGAAACTTCCATCACAAATAATCCAGAATGGCTTACACTTACTTGAAGTCCTCAGTGAGATAGATTACCAATAAATGTCATGAACAATAGGAAATTAAGAGTGAAATATAAACCGAATTCATAAAACTGTAGTGCGATTTCTTAGGAGAATATATCTGTCTTGGTTGATGCACTCCCCCATATCTCGAGCCCCACTTAAACACTAAGAAGCGCTTTCTGCTTACCGCGCGGCGCGCGCAAACCACTGCCTACAACGACCTCTTTCATCTCCAGTTCCTATACAATTTATATTTTGCTTTTGTTGCTTCATTTCCCTGTGTAAAGTGGGTGCGCGCTTGATGTGAGAAGGATATCTGATTCAAAGCAATAAAACAAAAAGCTTGAGTTGAGTTGAGTTGATTTTCAGATGGAAGGCTTGCTTGTTCAGTCTGTATTTTCAACTTGTTTTGAAGACTTGGCGATTTAATGCGCAACGACGCAATTGCGCAAGCGTGCAATCAAGCTATGTCAGTGTAAGCTTCATTATCACAAAGCCCCCAAATTGTTTTTACTTCAAATTCACTTGCTCCATCAATTCCCTTGACTCACTAAAGCCGCGCCTCACCTCACCTCACCTCCCTCCAAAGAACAAAATGGCAAAAAATGGTAGTCATAGCGATCAAGTTCCTCCGAGAACCCGTGGTCTCACCCGTAGGCTGTTACAGTCTCCTCAGCATACCTGTATGAACGCCCGCAAAGGTCCGTCCTACATTCTCGGACTCGCCAGTGCGTTATGCTTTCCCACCAACTCGGCCAGAAGGCCGGTTGGACACATTGTGTTGAAGACCGATGCGCAAGAGAGTATTTGAAGTAGAAGGTGAGTGATGGGGTGGTGTAGTTGGAGAGTTGATGGTTTTGGTTGGGGATTAATTCATTTTTGACTTGGAATTTTTTTGGAAAGAGAGGCAATGAGTGTTGAATTCACTTGTTTGGATCCACTTTTTGAGATGAAACGCAATCGTTATTTGTATGACACCTAGTATGGCGTGTCATTGGGGACTGAATTTGATTTCTCAACATGTGTGGTCAACGTCGCCGCATTGATTAATTCGCTTCGTGACATTCATATTGTATGTAGTTGAAAAGCCAACAGATTCGGTGAGGAAAGACGATATCTATCCGTTCGATTTAGTATATCTAGTCCTTATTAATTATGTTTTATCCGCAGAGATACGATGCAACCAATGTCAATTGTCCAACACATGGATCTGTTTCAGTCATTTGAACTACAGACATTCACACTGCAAACAATTCTTGTTGTTCCTTTGATATAACGGCAATGTGTTATTTGAGCATTGAGAGCCTTGTGGTGGTCTTTCATAGCAAAACCTTTTCGAGGAAAGGAACATTTTAACGCAGCACCTCTTATTCTAGTCAGGACCCTCCAACTCACAATAAAGAGAGAGCAGCAGAGGAACGACATCATTCTATACTATAAAGCCAAGATTACTTACTACATCAAGATATAGATGAATGTACTCTCGCAATATATTCTATTACCTATTTTGGATATATGTCACATAATTAAACGAGCCGGTGAAAAGGGGAACAGCAGAGGAATGGCAATCTTGTTAGCAAAGCTTTCTTCAAGAGCCAAAGACCATCTTAGTACTGCCATTGTTTGAAAAAAAACTCTCGTATAGGTAATCACTCAGGCAGAACCTGTACACTACGTAATAAATGAGGACGATGCATACTTAATTATGCCTTAATTCATAGTATGAATCGGGATAAAACACACGAAACAAATGTTATAAATGAAAATTGAATTCCGATGCATAAAGAAAGCCCAGAATTAGCCCACTATTCTGCCTAGACATAGATATCTTATTTGAACGAATGCGTATTGACTCTGTGCAACTGACGAAAAGCTTTTAGCTTTGTAATCAAGAAGTCATTGAGTCGTTTGCGTGTTTTCGCCCTAGTATTTGAACGTTTGCCTAGCAGCAACGAAGCAATATATCAGGCCCGTTAAAATGGATTTAAAAAGGGGCCTTTGGAAGTATTCACCGTACCAGATATTTCTGCACCAATGCAGATAGCCAAATCTTGTTACTTCAACTTCCCAGGCCTTTGTGTCAATTTCACCTTTCATAAGCTTCTCCACCATCATGCAGTGATAAGCGGCCTGATTAGTGCTAAATGCGATATGTAGTCGCAGCAAGGTGAATGCATCACCGATCAGAAGAACATTTCCATTTGCAAATGATGCCTTTGGTGAATAATAGTCCGAGATTACGTGGATGAAAGGCTTCTCGATTTTGTTGATGACTTCTTTGTACGGCGTGCTCATTGAACTATTGCCGAGCTCTTTTTGCTTACTCCAGACTGTCTCGCGCAAACTTCCCAGTGAGATAGACGTATAATGTCTACGGCCGTCTCGATCAGTCATGACATCCTCGAATCTACTTTCCTGCTCGTTGGCGTACCAGCAGAAGTTTAAAGGGCGTTTACCCTCATCTATGGTGCCATGCTTCCCCGGAATGTCACATCTGAAAGATTCAGATTCATTTAGCAAAAGCTTTATTTCACTGCTGAGGATCTCGTCAATAGCAATGAAAATACCAACACAATTGCATGACCACCAGTGAACACGGAGTATGTAATGTTTCTCTGGAAAGTCTTGCGGGTTTCTTCGGAGACTTCTTCTTCTGCAACAACGCCTCTCCATGCTATATATCCTGCATAACGTCGATCTACAGTTGGTAGGAAAGTAGTGCGGACGGTGGAGTGCGGACCGTCGGCACCAAGTACTAGGTCAGCTGTAGTGTATGAGATCAAGCCGCTCACGAGGTCTTTGTGCTCGACTCGCACTGTAGATCCAGTATCCTCGAGAGAAATTACCTTTTTACTAGTTTCGTACAGAGCAGAAGAGGAATTAATCGAATCCCGTGATAGTGGAGGTTGAAATTATTCGCTTGGAAGTCCATCAAAATTTGCTCGCAAACGAAACTATAACGCATCCCAACTCATCATCAAGCGTTGTACTTTCAAGAACACGCTGGTGCGGGGTTTTTTTGATCGATGGACTGAAGACAAACGCTGGGAATTTTGATCTTTTAGCTCGTTAGATCTTTCTAGAAATGAGAGCACATCTGAAGTAGCACAAACTCCAGCCATGTGGCTGTCTGGTGATGATCCGAAGCTTTGCTTTAGTATTAGGCTGCGCACAAACTATCTGTACCTGTGGATTATCTGCGGATAATTCGCTTTACAGGTTATTTATTAAAGGTTTTACTCATTCTATGGATTATCTATTAAGACTTTAAAATTACCTGTTCTATATAAATAATCTGTAGATTATCTGTAAATTATTTAACTATTTATGAATAAATGGATTATTCGTGGATATATAGATTATTTACGAATAATTTACGAATTATTTATAAATAATTCGTGAATATATAAATTCTTCAAAAAAAACAGAAAATCTCTGCTTTTTTTACTTAAAATATAAAGCTATTTTCAGATCATTTTCCAGCTCAAAAGTGATCCAAGCTTAGATTTATATTAATTTTTATATTAATTATAAAATTATATTAATATTATAAAAGATTATGAATAATTATATAATATATAGATAGATGGGTATTTACAAGTAATTTGTACTCGCCTTACAGGTTATTTGTCTAGTTTCTGAATTATTCACATCATAAACGGATTATCCACGGATTATCTATTAAGGTTATTATTCGCTCTGCGGGTATTCGTTGCGCAGCCTATCTAGTATGCGGACATTGTGTCTCAAGTGCTTCAACATAATACCTATGGCGGCCTGTTAAGACAACTTCGAACATATCATAAATTAACATTCTTATCTCCTATATAATCTTCTTATTCAATATTTAAAAATCCATACATTTTATATGAATCTTTTAATTCAATATACAGCATTCTTAATCTCAAATATTTGAATCTATTCTTATATCAACTTAATTCAAATATAAATATTATGATTTCTAAATATAATATCTTTAGCTTTTCAATATTAAAAAAAAAATTTATATCATTAATATTCCTCTTATTATTTCTCTAAGCATTTTAGAACTTACATTACAGCTCATCCTATTAAAGACTTATTTAATATTTGAATTAGTAAAATTGAAGATATATTTGTTACGGATCGGCCTCAATTACAACTACGATCGCTTACGTATATATAGCTAGTATATAGGTGCGCTTTACAAGCGCTTTACTCTCGATTCTATAGTTGTAGATGTTAAGAATAAATTATACCCTGCTCTCGTAATTCTTCTATGACAAAGTGTTATAATATTAAAGCATTTAAGGTATATAAAAGTATATAAATAAAATTTAGATCATATCACTATATACAAGAACTATGTAATATAACTATTGAATTTTTATAAATATTATAATAATTATTAAATAATAATAATAAATTTCTTTTATAATACTTTGTTTTAAAAAACTAATTAAAATAGAATATAAATCATTTTTTAGAACTTTTTATTATAAAAATCGAAATTTTAATTTATAAAGTATATAATTATATTAATTATATTACAAAATAAGAATAATATATATCAAATGTTTGAAATTATTTTAATAGTTTGAATAGTAAGTTTTTAAATATTGAATAGGAAGATTATATAGGAAATAAGGATGTTATATATAATATGTTCGAAGTTGTCTTAATGGTCTACTATAGAGGGCTCTAACGAATAGTTTAGAGTAGTATTCGAAAGAAGAAGAAACAGGACAGGGTTAATAATTACCTCAATAAATATCCTTACTCTGAATGATTTAATGAGCAAACTAAAAAGATAATACTATTTTGAAAATATCTTTCAAATCAATAATTAATACTTCTGATTTCAAATTGAAATATATTATCAAAAAACTTAGAAAATCATAACACATTTCTATTTGATTTATATTATAACATTTATTTAATTCATTATTCAATTTTGAAATAATAATATTTGAAAGAAAGTCTCGATTTTGACGGGTTTGATGTGCTCGTTTTTCCATTCAGAGTGAGATACTCTAATAATTCAATCGCAAATCAAACAGCGAGATTCACAGTATCAAATAAAACCCCGCACTATCTTTCAGCTAGACTTATATTAAAACCCATATTCCATATCAGTGGGGAGGGAAAAAATGCGCTGTCGACAGGTTTCACTAGTGGTTAATTCCACCTCAGAAATTATATTCTCTCGGCTGCGCTGTCATCGCACATCACAGGAACATTGTTGCTTTGTACAAAAGAACCGATCACCTATTCAAATCTCGAGGATGCTAAACTGGCATTGTATCTACGTGGACAGAAACTTCGTGAGCGAAGATGATCATATTGTTCCAAAGGCGATATGCCGTGAATGTCCGGCATTCCCAGCAACTTTTTCCCTGGGGGTTTAGAATGTTCAAGGCACACCGAGCCAACAAGACGGTCTCGCCCTATTTTCAATGGTCTAGTTCTCGAAATCGTAGGTCTTGATTAAGATATTTTCATTGGAGCTCTGATTCAATCAGTTCGAGAGTTGTGGAGTGTCGGAAGAGAACCTTCTAGTTGAGTTTCTTAGCTAGTGTACTCATACTGTTGAGAATTTCTAGAAATTGTCATTTTTTTAGGTATGAAAAGTCCTCCGGTACTGAATTACGGCTTACCTACCTGGGCTTCTTCAGGTGTCTAGATACGGTAAATTCTAAACGGCCGAGTAAATACAGGCATCTCATGCTGACCAATGATTCTTTCTACTTTTCACTCCCTGGCTCCTATCCTCGGCTCCCTATATCAACACTAGAAACAACACCCTGAATTCCTCTCCAACTGTCCCCCTGTTGCATCGGACCCATCAAGTCCCTCGTCTATAGCACACAATTCTACGCCTTGACTGTTTGAGCAAAAGATTTGAACCAAGAAAGCCGAAATATACATTCAGAGGCCGCCATCGATCACCAGGACAGAATGTTGATATTCAAACATCGAAACAAAAACCGAAATATCAACATGAACAATCAACCAACATCACAATTTCCAATTGGAAACAGGACATGCTTTGATATTCTGAACCTCCATGAATTCTTAGACCTTTGACTCTATTTCTAGCCCCTTGATCTTGTACTATACAAACCTGTTTCCCTTTCGCCATAATACACATTCCATTCATGGCACGACCCTGATCTCCACTACACCCCAAGAGTCTTATATTTCTTAAAGCTATCCCCATTTACTCACACGTGCAAGGCAGACGCTAGCGCACAGCATTGCATTTGATGAGAGTCAAGCAAGCGTAAAAGTTACAGAGCTGGCTCCTCTGTAGACGCTCAATCAATGTACATCTAGGACTTCTCATTCTACCTCCGAGACGAAGGTGTCCTACATATGGTAACATCAACCATACATTTGACTAGTCTTTCGAGTTCGCGGGAGTGTATCGAAATCATCCAAATTCATCACACGCTTGTCTTGTCAAACGCCAGCTCATCACGCTGTTCACCTACAATAGCCTTCCATAGCCTTCCTCTTCACCCAAAGCAGCAAACAAAGTTATAGCTTCTAAAATCACTAGTATAAACTGTCTTTCGTATGCATATCATGATGTAGCTCGGGGCCTAACACTACACATAAGTGTCATTAATACATTGTTACGAAAATTGAAAGGATTTTTATACAAATCTAAGGCATGATTAAGATGTGGGTCCTACCGTAAATATGATATTAGTATTCAAGCATGAGAGGGGAAGATACAGCCGTTTCTCTATGGAAAACTAACTACTCAAATTGCGGACGCGTTATTTTCACATTTTCTCACAACACCATTCAAAATCCTGTGGTCAGGAGTAGCTGCAAACTCAGCTCCTTGAACTCACTCTCCAAGCTCCATTTGATAGCGAATTTCCAAACGCAAGAACTTCAAGTCCTCCAATACTGAGATTGACAGCGCAGCACTCGCCCGTCCAAAGTCTTCTGCACTCAAACATCTTGTATGCTTGTATGTTTACCCCACTTGCACGCTTGTGCTAGAATATGTGATCGACGTCTCGTTCCACGACTCTGCTACATTGCCCGAAGCATAAGACAGCTCATTGATAAATTGCAAGTTTTCAACTAACTTGCAAAACTGAAGCTAGGGTGGAATGCTAAAAAACGTCTCATGCATCCGTTGTCTGAGAGCACCAAAAAGTAACGAGCATCCATCAACCTATCTTAGTAGCAATCCAAATCTCTCACAAAGATAAATCAACAGACAAAAGACTATTATGCCTACCAGAATATCTAACCCACGCTCGGGATGCGCTTGAATGCGAATAAGCGCAATATCCTTCCCTTGTTCACATGTCTCGCTATCAAAGACGGGAAAATTACAATGTCATCAAGTTTTCACCAACAGATTTAGAAAATTTCAGCCAAGTAACTTTATCATCCGACTAATATTTCCCCTTTTTTGCGATCTATAAACGCCAAGATTGATGCTTGCAAGTGAGCATCCATGCCAGTCCGTCCCAACGACATGTGAACCAAAGCAGAGCCAAAATCTTCACCTATCTCGTCCGTCCTGTAATGACGTAATCGTAATGTGTCACTCAGACCAACTCCAAGTGCAGCAGAAGGAAGAGTCGGCCTAGGTACCCACGTATTTGACGTTTCATCTGAGAGAAAGTAAGTTGTGTGGAACACAAAGACAACAATGCCCCGTTTTACTTGACTGCAGAATTCAAATGCTTACTACATACTATGGTATATATTCCCACTACTCGTATATCCCACATAAACAAGCGTTTCAATAGCTCTGGTTGTGCCAACGAATAAGGACTCTCCTTCTCTTACAAACCCGCTTTGTGGCATATGAGAATGTTTGATAGGCATGGAATCCGGATTAGAGAAGGATATGGCTTTCTTCCTTCTTGCTTAATGAGAATTCTTCCTAACAGCCAGAAAGGCATCTTTGTGTATGTTACTTGCGTTATGCCTCATCTTCAGTTCGTCGTGTATTATACACTGGAACTTTCCATGGAGTAGAAGGGGATGTTGAAATGAATATCGCGAAAGAAAAAACCCCATATTATTGTAGATCTTCGAAACTGCGCATGTAAACCCAAAATCGACCTGCAAATTCATAACTTCACATCACACATCAATAACCAAAGTCAAACAAATTGAGAGAGCAGTAATATAGCATTGATCATTTCTACCACTGCTAGATCCCAACCCTCCTCACGATCGTCTAGTCAGTCCGTAGTCCAGTCCATCATGGGTATCATTGATCAATCCTAGATGTTAAATGTAACCATCTATTCATCATCCTCCTCAGCATCATCACCAACAACGTTGAAGAATCTCAATTCGTAAATGCCCTTGGAGGTGGAAACAACACGGAGCCAATCTCTCAATTGGTTCTTCTTGAGGAACTTCTTGGTCCTATGATCGCCATGTGTTAGCATATATTCTCAACCCAATAGAGATTCAAACAGAAGTTTCATAGGGAAAACTTACAAGTACTTGAGGTAGTGACCAGAGTTGACAGAGGTCTCGATCTTGATGCTCTCTCCCTCCTTAACGATAGAGACCTTGTCACCCAAGTTGCTCTTCAATCCATCGACCTTAAGGTTGTCTTGGAGGAACTTCTCGAAGGCAGCGGTATCGAAGATCTTGTCGTTGGCAGGTTGCTTGCAGTCGATGACAAACTTGCGCTTGACGACGGGTCCCTTCTTGTTTCCGGCCTATGTGAGAGAAAATAAGTTAGCCTACTGTATCACGCCATAACTCTGCAGTAGAGCGGGCCAACAGCAAAGCGGTTTCTTATTCATGGACGTACTTTGGCAGGCATTTTGACTGATATTCGTGAGGTCGCAAAGAAATGGTTATCCTACGCCGAGTTGAGAGTTGATGATGATTGAAGTAAAGGCTTCGAAAATCTCAAATTTTCTGTGTGGGCCGCCAAGAATTTCAGTCGCTTATTGATTATGTAATATGGAGCTGACTTCTCCCACGTGTTTCCGAGCTCTTATCATTTTGTGCCTTAGTTACAAGGCATGTAAATGGAAGGGCTGAAAGTGGGGAACGAAAGCTTCAATAGTTTCGTTTACTCAGGTTCGGCATTTATTATTGTTCATCATGCAGGACCAGCCAGGTATTGAGTTGGTATTCATGAAGTCGATCTCTCCAAGAGCGGGAGGCTTCCATTTTCCAAAACGGCTTGGCTACTGCAACTTTCATGTCGGTGAGAGTAATATAGAGCATTCAATGCACCTTAGTATGCCTCAATCGGTCAACGGGTACATGATTATTGTATTGAAAAGTTGACAACACAGCATTAATCACGACATGCATATTTCCAAACGTTTCATATTCTGTAATCAGATTGTAATCATTCATTATATTATCCATTGATCCATCTCTCTGTACAATCCCCCCCCCCCCTAAAGACCCATATTGCACCGCAGGTCCGTAGACATGCTGCCAAAAAACCAAACGAGAAAAACCATTCCATGAAAACCCCATGTATGAAATGCGCAAGAAAAGAGTATTAATCAGAAAATCATAATCGTCCCAAATGACCCATGCCCATGCATGTTTATGTCTCCAACTCCCAAGCCATCATAATTTCAAGCCGAGAAATATTCAGCAGCCGACTCTTCCGATGCCAAGAGGTTGGTTGTTCATTAACATGTCTGAGTACGAACCGTATTGGTCAGACCTGATTTCGAGAAGATGTGAAAGAGGTGGGAAGATGCTTGAGGTATCGTATGATCGAAGTCGAGTAGGGGTATATCGTTTATTTTTGAGTTTGAAGAAAGTCGTTGTCATGAGAAGCTTAATACTTTAGAATGATGTATAGAGCGTGAATGATACCGGGGATATATCCAAGGATGGTGAGCAGGACTATGTAGCATGTCAGTATTTTGATCGTCTGCAAGTAGTAATATATGGATAGTCTTACTGTTGATGAGCAAATCGGCACCGCAACCTCTCTCAAGGAATACACCAAGAGGTGGTAAGATGACGGCGAGAATGATCTTGCAGATATCGCTATTGTGGAATGTCAGTAATCGATACTCGTTGATGTGATTGATCAGACTGCCGCGCGACAGAGTCTCAAGTGATTGGGATAGAGAATGATTCTTACCTTGCTGTGAAAGGCATGATGTTGGATTTGGTTGGTAAAAGGGTGGTTTGATGAGTCTTGTTGATTGATTGACGAGTGTCTTAAAAGCGCAGAGTTCTTATTCTTCTTTGTCTTGACGTTCGATGTTCGATGTTTGATGAAGAGAGGATTGGAATGTATGTTTGCAAAAGGAAGTGGCTAAGCAGAGGGAAAGTGGACCTTTATGTATGAGCACTGAGAAGAGCTTTGGGCTTGGGAGGTGTGGAACGTGAATGGTACGATTTCCCGATTTTGCTTGAGTCGGAGGTACAACGTCACTAATTTACCTTATTTCACCTCTTATTATTATTAACCAGCAGGAAAAGAGTTGGCACTACGATATCATGGCTGAAAATAGATTAGATCCCTCTGAATTGTGGTGAAGTGTGGTGGCCCAACCAAGAAATTCTATTTGGAAGGCCAACCACTGTGACCACTGACCAGCAAATTGTCAAACCAAATTACGTCATACATAACATCTTTTATCTTTTCCCATTGCTCCCTTCACTTGCTTCAGCCATCATGTTTTTTGATCTTCCAAGGGAAATTAAAACACCCGTCAGCCAATCTCACCTATGGAAATAATTGCATCTGAAGCATGATAAATGCACATGGAGGAACCTGCATGAGATTAAAATTCTGGTGTTCAACAAATAGATTCTCCTCGTTCGTATGGTCCTCATAAATTTTACGACGATTCAACAATAAAAATGAATGAGTGGCACATGCGAAGTAGCAATCATGGTAATTGCCGGGAGTGTCGGAAATTGACGGTTCTCAGTGCCGCATGCATCCCGATTGGGTTCTTTTTCTGCTGCGGGGACCTTCAGGTGTGGCACTGTGGCTGAGCTGTGGCTATTCGGGGGATAGGTAACTCCAGCTCCAGCTTCATGTGATTGTAAATCCAGTATCTTATTCGTCTCTCTCTAGGTAATCTCTGTACACTTTGCTAAGCCACATACACGGCAAAGGATATCTATATACATGGAATGGAACATTCGGAATTCTTTTTGGCTGTCAACTTCATCTTGTGATCAATCATTTCTTCCAGTTGATTATCTCGACATTCCGAATCCCGATTTTTTTTTCTTTCAAATTCAAACTCAAAGCCACTATGAAATGACGAGGTTGGGTTGTGTACTTTGTACTGCAAAGAAGGGATCCCTAGTATTTCTTTGGTAAACGCGTATTGGTGCGTACTGGTGCGTATTGGTGCCGTATAAGGCTACACGAGTCAAAGCGATGTCTAGACTCTAGATCCTGCATTTCGAAAGCTTGGTTTATTTGATCTGCTACACAGGGCTTGTTTTTATTGAATGCCGGGTCTGTGCACTCACAATAAAAATACCAATCAAAAGATCTTAAGTTATTCTTATTTGATAATTGAATAATAAATCAATCAACTGCTTATTATATCTCTTAATTCTGCTTTGAGTATATTGAATTGCGTATCATTTGCTATAAAATCTATATAGTATTATGTATCTAAACAAAGAATATATCATAACAATAGTTTATAATACTTGAGTTTTCTAGATGTTTTCGCTTGCAAAAAAAGCAGCAATAATAAATACACGGCCCTGGTATGTGGCTGAGTATTAGTACAAACGGTGTCACGGTATTAGCACGAAAGATCATACATAATAGGTTTGTGAGGAGATTCATCGTAGCTTGACTGTGCTTACACGTAGTCGAAGTAACCCCTTTAAGATCATATCGTTACATACTGTTCTAGAAGAATCTCGACCGTCTAGCTTATGAGCGAGTGCATTGAGAAGCTCATGACTAACCTAAATGTACTGCACAATTCAAGTGAAGAAGGAGCTATATTTCTTGATCTGAGTAGGTACAATTTCGTATGAGACAACTGCTATGTATCCATTTGGGGCTGAAAAGGTGTAAGCACACATCATTTCCCGATGCTGGATTAGGTATGGGTGAAAACATGGTCAGGAAATATCAATCTATTCTATCGAGTGAAGATGGCAATACACAATGAGCGTGCTTCTATGAGAAGAACAAGAGATTTCTTTGGAAACCGTACAACTTTATCAGAGCTACCTAGCATACAACTCAATAATGATAAGGATTAAATTCTAGATAGCAACAATATACAAATTCGAGAGCTTCCCAGTGACGATGACCTTGATATAAGTCGAATCAGAAGATGATTGACCTCTTCATCATGCCTCAGGTATCAACCCCACCATGCCGAGCAAGCTCAGCGCATCCATACACAAATTTTATGTTTATGCACGTCCAAAGACCATCTTCTTCAATCCATCTCATAACCACCACACGATATGCCACGAGATCCCCTCATCGGCCTCGTAGGCAAACCCTCTTCAGGGAAAAGTACAACACTTAACAGTCTTACAGATGCTACCTCCAAAGTGGGTACGTAAATATTCCCCCATATCATTGCTTTCGACCCAAAACTACCCCTCCATTTACTTACATTTTCTCTCATGTAGGCAATTTTCCGTAAGCACTCACTCTATTAACTATATGCGCAAATACCCACCATTTCGTACAAGAAACTAGAGAACCCGCACAAGAGCAGAGAGAGAAAGACAAAATACTGAGCCACTTCCAGATTCACAACCATCGATCCTCAACGCGCAATCGGATATCTTCAAATCGACTGCGCCTGCGCTCGCTATAACCTTCAATCACGTTGTAAACCCAACTACGGCTCCTGTATCAACGGTCGTCGCTCTGTTCCCATCGAACTCCTCGATGTAGCTGGTCTCGTCCCTGGCGCGCACGAAGGAAAAGGTCTCGGAAATAAGTTTCTTGATGATTTACGTCATGCAGATGCACTCATTCATGTCGTAGACGTAAGTGGTACAACTGATGCGGAAGGAAAAGCAACGAGAGGCTATGATCCTAGTTATGATATTGTGTGGTTACGTTCGGAGATAGTAGCATGGATTCGAGGAAACTTGATGCAAAAATGGGGATCGATAAAACGGAGACATGTAGCTGTGAAAGCGACAGCTGTTGAGACATTACAGGGACAATTTTCTGGATATGGAAGTACAAGTGTGGTGGTTGCGCGGACGTTGGATAAGTTGGCATTAAAGGAGCCATTGGAACATTGGTCTGATGAAACGATTGATTTGGTGGTGAATGCTTTTACGGATGAAAAATTCCCAACGGTCATTGCGCTCAATAAGATTGATCATGCGGATGCGGATAAGAACATAAGCAAGATTGCAAAGATGCAGGATCCAAAGAGTATAGTACTATGTAGTGCCGTTTCGGAGGTTTTCTTGAGGAGATTGGCTAAACAAGGCTTTGTGAAGTATACGGAGGGAAGTGAGTTTGTGGATACGAGGGAGGATTTAATTGCTGATGGTGACGAAACTGGAGGAGGTCTGAAAGAACTGGATGAAAAGCTCAAAAACAGAATTGAGAATTTAAAGGATATGGTTCTTTACAGATTTGGAAGTACGGGAGTAGTGCAAGTACTTTCTCGAGCAGCAGAGTTACTCGGTTTGGTACCAGTATTTCCTGTAAGGAACGTAGGAAGTTTAATAGCAGGAAGTGGTGGATCTGGAAGTGAGAAGGTATTCAGAGACTGTGTATTGGTTAAGAAAAATACTACAGTCGCGGAGTGTGCGAGAAAGGTTATGGGAGATGCTCCTTTGGCTTATGTTGAAGGAGCCGGTGGAGTAAGAGTTTCGGAAGATGCTATTGTTTCTGTTGGTCATAATGATGTGCGTATAATGCCCTTTCACGCCTGTTTGAAGAACCTTTACTAACAATCACCAGATCCTCTCCTTCCGAGTTGGCAGGGCATGAGAAGCTTACAATCTTCATTCCCAAATATAATCCTGATACTGTGGGCCTGGCGTTTTAGGAAGAAGGATTTAGCATAGCAAATAGCGTTATGAGGTCGAATCTAGAATTACATATATTCGAGATTCATCACTTGAGTTATTTTGTTGTTGACATAAGTTACACAAAATTTATTCTTTTTGTTTACGTGTTGAACATGTGTCAAATTATAGCTATCATGAGACTATAACCCGCTGATTTCCCTTTGCAGTAATCATCTCAACAATAAGCGAATGAGTTAACACCAGTTGATCTTTTCTACCTTTCCACGATATTTACTAGCACAACACAAATCAAGAAACAGCACATATTAACTTAAACTCTCAGCTCTAGTAAGTAGTATGGTATACATACTAGAAAACGGTCGCTTAAAACTTCTGATATATTTTTAGTAATGAGATATTCTCCGATCCTAAGGCATTCATAACCCATACCACAAACACGAATTGACCAATCACTCACTCACTCACTCACTCACAATCGTCATAGCCACCATACATAGCTACCAGGTAGTTCATCCGATAAAGGGAGGCGAACATTTCCACGACAACATATACCCCGCATTCTAGATCTCGATAACCAATTGTGACGACATGGATTGAAATTGATCGATCCATCATATTGAAACACCTCCAATCCCATCCCATTACCGTGTGCCAAGTTTGCCGCCAATGCGCAAGTGAACGATCAACATAGTTAAGCTAGAGAAAGTTCGATAGGGAACTATTGAAGTAAGCTCTGGAAGTGGGAAGCTATAAGGTTACTATGTAATAGCTTGTTCGCCCTCGCTAGATAGGTATATGGTTCTCGCACATTCGCATTCTGGGTTTGTGGGATTGGGGTTTCTTTTCGTCTACCTATTTAATTCGAGTATTCCTTTCGAGTATTCCTTTCACACTTTCTTGAGACTTTCCTGAGATACAGAAATTTACATATCTGGCTGGTTCATACTTGCGATACTTATTCACAAATCAATCAATCAATCAACCACTCCATAATTCTAATTTCCAACTCTCAACCACCACTACAACCACCATGTCCCCCGCGCTCTCCACCTCCCCCGCCTCGCGCATCTGTCACCTAACCCCCAACCCACGTCTCCATCTCCAATTCTTCCGACACAGCCCCAGCAAATCCCGCAACCAAGGCTCCTCCGCCCAACAAACCAATCCTGCTCTCTCCCGCCGCCGTTCCTACTCCACCAGTACCGCCTATCGCACTCCCTGGGCCGGTCGTCCCGCCTCTGAAAACGCAGGTACGGATGGACAGACCGAGAAACACAATGTGCAACATGATCAGTCGCAGAAGAGCAAGGAGGAGAGAGTAAAGGGGGAGAGTGGCAGTGTGGGATTGGATGAAAAGCCCAGTGGACAGAGTAAAGATGCGAAGAAGAAGGTGCAGGTGGAGTTTCCGGAGGGGGCGAAGAGAGGCCCGGTTATTGGAATGGAGGATGAGAGGGGTGGAGTGAGTTTTCTTTTTCTTCTTCGTTTTTTTTTGTAGTTTCCCCTTTCTTGTTGCTTGGGGGTTTGGTTTGTTTGTTAAGAGTAAAATAAGAGAATGGAAAGAACACCAGCTAACAAACTATGTGCAAATAGAAAGGTTCTTAAATCCAAAACCCCTGGATACAGTGTTCGTATATAGTATACAACGTTTAATCAGCAGAAACTGTATACTACGAGATTAAGGATCAGTGGATAGATATGGCATATTCGCATTGGCGAAAGCAAGCTTACTTGCTTGCTTGCATGCATTCTCTCTTTTTGAATATCGGAATATCTGAATATCTGAAATCACTACTGTACCGCTATCCATAATCAGACCAAACAATACAAATAATACAAAATATACATATCTGATCTCCTGAGCATTGTCAAATTGTCAATTTATCTGAATCTGATACGCAATCATCGTAATGATACTTTTACCTCAGTGCTTGCAATTTCTCTCAATCGATCAGATAATTGATCATCCTATTATGATTTTGTAGAATGGTAGGAAGAAGCTCCGTTTTCCATTCTTACATATAACATACTATTGCAACCCCAACAGCAAAAAATCAAAACATGACAGTTTATCTTTCCGTCTCTCTCTTCATTGATCGATCGATCTATCCACCTATCTATCCCAAACCCTCCTCCCAACCACAACCACAACATCACCGCCAACCACATCCTCGCTCCTCTTCATCCCTAAATACCACAGTCAGTCAGTCAGTTAGTCAGTCAGTCAATCAGTCAGTCAGTCAGTCAGTTATTCAATCACTCGCAAACATCCTCCTCTCTTCCTCGCTATACCCTGATGGTATCAATAACAACATCATCTATCATATCCCTAGCTCGCCAACAGCTAGTCAAGGTATCGAGGATCTCACACCCATAAATATATTAACGAATAGACGAACAACTACCTCTTCTATCTCGCTGATAGGGGGTAGGTAATCTTGGTGAAATATTGATCTAGATATAGTATGCGGTTTGTGAGAAGAGAGATATTTGTTTTGTATAGTTACTTTACTTATTGTTGAGTCACGTTTTCTACAATTGGTGGCGAGGAATTTTAGACTGGAGAGGTATTAAGTGTTATATTATGTCATGTTATATTATATTGTATTATATTATATTATTTTATATTATATTATATTATTTTATATTATATTATATAGTTACTTATATAATACATTGAGCAATATTATTATATATAGTAAGAGTTTAAATCATTACTTACAATACACTAAACAATTTTACACTAAGAATAATTATATTTTCAACTTTTGAACTCTTGTTTTATTTTCTTTGAATATAATTGAAATTAAATAAAACTCTAAAATTTTATTGAGAATTAATCAAATAATATTAAAAAATTTATCGATTATTTTTTATCATTTTATTTTATAAAAATACCATAGTTTGAAAAAAGAATAATAGAAAAATCTTATAAAAATTATTTATTTTATATGAAGAAAATATTATAAGTTAATAATTCTGAAAATTTCAATTTTAAAGCTTTCTTTTTGAATTATAAAAATAGCAAAAAATATTTTAATCATTTTTTCTGATTTGAATATTAAGTAAAAATTATAATCCAAAATTTCAATAATTATTTCTTATATATTAGAAAGTTATTCAATATTATAATTTACATATGAAAACAGCTTTTTGGCGGGGATTTTGTCACGAAATCGCTTAGTGTGCGGTGAGTGATGGCCCAAACTCTTACATAAATGAATGTTGTTGATATGAATAAAAGATTTTCGTGTTTAGATGTTAGGATGAGGAAATGTGAAGTGTGAGTGTTCCACCATACTATCTCTACCATTCAATACCATATTTCCCTTTTTCTGCATAGGCGAGACAGATGAGATTCACACCCAAGTATGTAGGTGTGCGGTTGTTGAGCAAGAAAGGTTTCCTCACACCAACTAAGAAATTCAATTTGTTTTGAACATTTCCTTCCTAAAAGTCCTCGACAACTCTCGAGAATTCTCAATGGGTAGCTAGATCCCGCGATGAGGAATCGTCCTCCAAATCCTAAGTCATCCTCCGTTTTCGACGGGGAGATATCACAAAGCCCTGTTCTCTTTAGTATTACTGGTATATCAATATTCTGAAGTTGGCATACGCATTACCCTTCTTCCATTTGAGAGCATTGATCGGATGGTAGCATCCGCAATCATTGTAATTCTCCCAATACAGGCGTCCTCTGAGATGTTGAGACGTAAATCTGAAGTCAGGATCTTTTCTCCACTTGTTCGTTTGTGGATTTTTGATCGGGATAAATCGATGGGAATCGTCCTCCGACTAATTCTCTCTCTTCCCAGATGCCAAATGCGAAAGTGGAGGTATGTAAATTCAAAACTCGTGATGATTATTGTGTTGACCCAGGTGCTGCAGCGCCGGTACATCCATACGAAAGCCGATAGAATAGGAGAAGCAAGAAATCGCGTAACAGACCAAGCAAAGTTGGCCTCCATGTCAAACTCAGATATCCAAACTGACGCCGAGAAAAGGAATCCGCGATAATCAGGAACAGCGCTGAAGAATTCCTCAATCAAATTTCCGTAAGCGCACCGATTCAACCCACACAAGCCCTAACATCTAACATCATACTCACACGAAGCCCACCGCTGACAGTAATCTCACCGTCTTCCCTCCCTCAGAACTTGACTTATAAATCGAAGCTGTCGTATCCTAAGCCAATGCGAAAGGTGGACATCCCGCCGCGACCAGAGCCGCTATCCAAGCCATGATCATTTGATCATTATCGTATCTCTGGTCCGGGTTTAGAGAGAGATCCGACGGCGCCGAAGACATTGTTTCTCTGTCCATCAATAATGAGAATATATAAATTATATCTCAAACAACAAATTTACGAATAAGAATATGGTAGATGGCCCAATGGCTGATATGCAACACAGCCACCGACTACCAATCGCAACAAAGTATCATAGAAATAAGAAGACTAGTCGCCGACGACTAAACTTCAACATAAACCAATAAAGTTAATAACCCTCTCGCCGATCAATACCACACAAAACATGACCCAATCCATCGGAACTCATCTCTTTATATATATCAAAGGGGGGAAAAGGGGGGGACACAGCACAATCTATCATCCCGGAACACACGAAGCCTCAAGATGTGGGGACGCAAAAACAGGTGGGACAAAAAAATTCCCGACATTTCGAGAAATTTCTACCGCAGAGCGACGACGACACTGAAGCGTCGCTTGTGCATGCGAGAGCACGCCACCGTGTAACACTTCTGGTAGAGTGGAGATGGTGCATTCGTGATGGAATATATGATGCTGGAATTATCTGGAAGGCGGATTTGGTTGTATGGTATTCGACTCCGAGAAGAATTATGATGAAGGAGGACTTGGTGTTACAGCACGTGCTATGCCCCCACGCGAGATTGAGAACGTGTTAGCCGTGCTCGTGGTGCTTTGATATTTTTGTAAGTTAGATACCTGGTAAAAGTACGGAGCTTATACTCCTTGATATGAAAAATACAGTGAAAAAGATAACGTAGTTTATTAGTGCATACACTATATCAATACGTGCACCACTTTTATCTCAATTTATATTCTTCAATTTCAACATATAATTTATTAACTATTTATTATGTAATTAAATAATAAAAAAGAGAGAATATTCTTAATTATCAAAGCTATTGAAAAAAACAAAAAACTCTTAATTCGAAAAGCTACTAAACTATATAATATTATATATATAACATTTATTCAAAGAATAAATAAAACAACTCCTATAATTAAATTTCAATTATAAAATCTAAAACTTATTAAAATAAAAGAGTAAATAATTATTTTATATATTCTTAATATAAATTCAAAAGGTTTTTCTTTTAAATTTAAAGAGATAGAAGATATAACAAATTATATTTTCAAATCGAAAAAAGAAAAAGCTATTGAAAAGCTCTAGATATATCGATTTGTAAAACAATATAAAGAATTAAAAACATATTTTAATTATATTTATAACTTTTAAAAAGTTTTTTATAAGAATCCTAAATTTCTTAAAAAATAATTTCAATTAATTATAAATATATAAACGAAATATAATATTTTAAATAAAGATTTCTATAATTTCGATGAAACAGACTTTATAATGAGAATTATATATACAATAATGATTGTTGTTAATACTAAAAGATATAATAGAAGTAAATCAGTATAACTAGATAATCAAGAATAAACTATAATAATAATATATAGAAATAAAGAGGATAAAATTATTCCCCTATTTCTAATAGTTTAAGAATAGGTTTATTTTTTTAATTAATATATTGAAACCAATTTTCCTATAAATTAAGCTATTAAATCTATATTTAATAAATAGATGAATAATAAAACAGGTTTAGAATAATTGAAATACTTCAATAAATATACTAAGAATTGAAGAAAGAATAAATATCAAATATTAATACTAAATAGATATAAAAGCTACAAATTAATAGCTTTTTAAATATATTATAAAGAGAATAATATTATATGTTTATATTTATTATTATATTTAAGTTATTTAACTTAATTATTTGATATTAATTGTTTTAGTAATCTAAAATGTTTATATAATAATTAAATTAATGAATTTATTAAGATATATATTAATTATATTTCGAAGGTTGAATTCTTTATAGTTTTTAAAATTATATACAAAAAATCAATTACCTTTTAGAATATAAAATCAGAATTTCAAGAAATAGGTTTAATTTTATTTAATCTTGAAACTATACTCTCGAAATTAGATATTCAAATTCGTACACCTACCCCCCTCTCTTTCAATTTAGATCAATAAATCTCTCAAACCCCTTACAATCTAATTAAAGCTCTTTTTCAATCAATATTAATTAAATCTCGAATAATTTGTTATTAATTAAGCTCACTTATATTTATATTTGAGATTATATTAGCTCTAATTAAAGGTATAAAGTAATTAACTTATAAAAACATACTTTTAAATATAGAGATTTATATACTTCAAATAATAAATGAAATATTAAGCAAATATTAATATACAAAAAAAACCCTAATTATATCAAGAAAAAGTATTTATTAAATAAAAAGCTTTTAATATATTATCTTAATAAAA